TGCTTTGACACTTCAAGATACATCAGGAAGCAACATTTCAGACAGTGAAATTGAAATATTACAGTAGTTCAATTGAGAAAATCAACCTTTCATCTTTTCTCCGCTTTGAGCAGCCCACATAGAGAAAGCTAAAGTTTTTTATCTGCTATATTGATCAGTTGTTACTACAAAAGAGTTAACATGAGAGATATGAAAGCAAAACTTATTCTAAAATCGAGTAACCGATATTATAATTCGTGGATTTATTCAATTCTTTCACAATGAGCTTGAAACTCAATGCAAACTATATTGATGAATGGTGTAGGTCCTATATGCTTTCAAAATTAATCAAGAAGTAACATTTCGGACACCTCATTTTTATCAACTTCAAACTTCAATGTCTGCTTTGACATTTCTGTTTGCTTTGACATTTCACGAAAAAAACAAAAAGCAAAATATCAGACAGTGAAACATAAGCTTAAAGCGAACAGAAAAACCCAGAGGAGAGAGTTAATAAGAAGGGAGGTGTGACCAACTTTTTTTCACAAAGAGCTTTAAGCTCAAAGCAAATTGTATTGATGAATAGCTTCGGTCCAAATAGTCTTCAACAAGAAAGAAAGAACAAGTCATACACTTTGAGAGCAGAATATAACTATAGAGCTTACATCTGATAAAAGCAAAAACAACATCTTCGCTGTAGAGCAAATCAACCAGAAAAATCAAACGTTTTATCGGTTGAACCGTTCTATATTTTCTGTCTGCTTTGACACTTCAAGATACATCAGGAAGCAACATTTCAGACAGTGAAAATGAAATATTACAAAAATTCAATTGAGATTGAGAAAAAGAACCATTCAGTTTTTCTCTGCTGTGAGCAGCCCACATAGAGAAAGCTACAGATTGTTATCTGTTACATTGACCAGTTGTTTGTATAAAAGAGTTTAACATGAGAGCTATGAAAGCAAAACTTTTTCAAAAAACGAGTAACCGATATTATAATTCATGGATGTAATCAACTTTTTCACAATGAGCTTGAAACTCAATGCAAACTACATTGATGAATGGTGTAGGTCCTATGTCTTCAAAATTAATCAACAAGCAACATTTCGGACACCTCATTTTTATCGACTTCAAACTTCAGTGTCCGCTTTGACATTTCTGTCTGCTTTGACACTTCACGAAAAAACAAAAGGCAAAATATCAGACAGTGAAACAGAATCTTACAGCGAACAGAAAAACTCAACGGAGAGAGTTGAAAATAGTGAGGTGTGATCAATTTTTTTTTCACAAAGAGCTTTAAGCTGAAAGCAAATTTTATTGATGAATAGCTTCGGTCCAATTAATCTTTAAAAAGAAAGAAACAACAAGTCATACACTTTGAGAGCAGAATATAACTATAGAGCTTACATCTGATAAAAGCAAAAACAACATCTTCGCTGTAGAGCAAACCAACCAGAAAAACAAAACGTTTTATCGGTTGAATCGTTCTATAATTTCTGTCTGCTTTGACACTTCAAGATACACCAGGAAGCAACATTTCAGACAGTGAAAATGAAATATTACAGTAGTTCAATTGAGAAAATCAACATTTCATCTTTTCTCCGCTTTGAGCAGCCCACATAGAGAAAGCTAAAGTTTTTTATCTGCTATATTGATCAGTTGTTACTACAAAAGAGTTAACATGAGAGATATGAAAGCAAAACTAATTCTAAAATCGAGTAACCGATTTTATAATTCATGGATGTAATCAACTTTTTCACAATGAGCTTGAAACTCAATGCAAACTACATTGATGAATGGTGTAGGTCCTATATGTCTTCAAAATTAATCAAGAAGCAACATTTCGGACACCTCATTTTTATCGACTTCAAACTTCAGTGTCCGCTTTGACATTTCTGTCTGCTTTGACACTTCACGAAAATACAAAATGCAAAAAAAAAAGACACTGAAACAGAATCTTACAGTGAACAGAAAAACTCAACGGAGGGAGTTGAAAAATAGTGAGGTGTGATCAATTTTTTTTTCACAAAGAGCTTTAAGCTGAAAGCAAATTTTATTGATGAATAGCTTCGGTCCAATTAACCTTTAAAAAGAAAGAAACAACAAGTCATACACTTTGAGAGCAGAATATAACTATAGAGCTTACATCTGATAAAAGCAAAAACAACATCTTCGCTGTAGAGCAAACCAACCAGAAAAACAAAACGTTTTATCGGTTGAATCGTTCTATAATTTCTGTCTGCTTTGACACTTCAAGATACACCAGGAAGCAACATTTCAGACAGTGAAAATGAAATATTACAGTAGTTCAATTGAAAAAATCAACATTTCATCTTTTCTCCGCTTTGAGCAGCCCACATAGAGAAAGCTAAAGTTTTTTATCTGTTATAGTGACCAGTTGTTAGTATAAAAGAGTTAAACATGAGAGATATGAAAGCAAATTTTTTCAATAATCGAGTAACCGATATTATAATTCATGAATGTAATCAACTTTTTCACAATGAGCTTGAAACTCAATGCAAACTACATTGATGAATGGTGTAGGTCCTATATGTCTTCAAAATTAATCAAGAAGCAACATTTCGGACACCTCATTTTTATCGACTTCAAACTTCAGTGTCCGCTTTGACATTTCTGTCTGCTTTGACACTTCACGAAAAAACAAAAGGCAAAATATAAGACAGTGAAACAGAATCTTACAGTGAACAGAAAAACTCAACGGAGAGAGTTGAAAAATAGTGAGGTGTGATCAATTTTTTTTTCACAAAGAGCTTTAAGCTGAAAGCAAATTTTATTGATGAATAGCTTCGGTCCAATTAATCTTTAAAAAGAAAGAAACAACAAGTCATACACTTTGAGAGCAGAATATAACTATAGAGCTTACATCTGATAAAAGCAAAAACAACATCTTGGCTGTAGAGCAAACCAACCAGAAAAACCAAACGTTTTATCGGTTGAATCGTTCTATAATTTCTGTCTGCTTTGACACTTCAAGATACATCAGGAAGCAACATTTCAGACAGTGAAAATGAAATATTACAGTAGTTCAATTGAAAAAATCAACATTTCATCTTTTCTCCGCTTTGAGCAGCCCACATAGAGAAAGCTAAAGTTTTTTATCTGTTATATTGACCAGTTGTTAGTATAAAAGAGTTAAACATGAGAGATATGAAAGCAAATTTTTTCAATAATCGAGTAACCGATATTATAATTCATGAATGTAATCAACTTTTTCACAATGAGCTTGAAACTCAATGCAAACTACATTGATGAATGGTGTAGGTCCTATATGTCTTCAAAATTAATCAAGAAGCAACATTTCGGACACCTCATTTTTATCGACTTCAAACTTCAGTGTCCGCTTTGACATTTCTGTCTGCTTTGACACTTCACGAAAATACAAAATGCAAAAAAAAAAGACAGTGAAACAGAATCTTTCAGTGAACAGAAAAACTCAACGGAGGGAGTTGAAAAATAGTGAGGTGTGATCAATTTTTTTTTCACAAAGAGCTTTAAGCTGAAAGCAAATTTTATTGATGAATAGCTTCGGTCCAATTAATCTTTAAAAAGAAAGAAACAACAAGTCATACACTTTGAGAGCAGAATATAACTATAGAGCTTACATCTGATGAAAGCAAAAACAACATCTTGGCTGTAGAGCAAACCAACCAGAAAAACCAAACGTTTTATCGGTTGAATCGTTCTATAATTTCTGTCTGCTTTGACACTTCAAGATACATCAGGAAGCAACATTTCAGACAGTGAAAATGAAATATTACAGTAGTCCTATTGAAAAAATCAACATTTCATCTTTTCTCTGCTTTGAGCAGCCCACATAGAGAAAGCTAAAGTTTTTTATCTGTTATATTGACCAGTTGTTAGTATAAAAGAGTTAAACATGAGAGATATGAAAGCAAATTTTTTCAATAATCGAGTAACCGATATTATAATTCATGAATGTAATCAACTTTTTCACAATGAGCTTGAAACTCAATGCAAACTACATTGATGAATGGTGTAGGTCCTATATGTCTTCAAAATTAATCAAGAAGCAACATTTGAGACACCTCATTTTTATCGACTTCAAACTTCAGTGTCCGCTTTGACATTTCTGTCTGCTTTGACACTTCACGAAAAAACAAAAGGCAAAATATAAGACAGTGAAACAGAATCTTACAGTGAACAGAAAAACTCAACGGAGAGAGTTGAAAAATAGTGAGGTGTGATCAATTTTTTTTTCACAAAGAGCTTTAAGCTGAAAGCAAATTTTATTGATGAATAGCTTCGGTCCAATTAATCTTTAAAAAGAAAGAAACAACAAGTCATACACTTTGAGAGCAGAATATAACTATAGAGCTTACATCTGATAAAAGCAAAAACAACATCTTCGCTGTAGAGCAAACCAACCAGAAAAACCAAACGTTTTATCGGTTGAATCGTTCTATAATTTCTGTCTGCTTTGACACTTCAAGATACATCAGGAAGCAACATTTCAGACAGTGAAAATGAAATATTACAGTAGTTCAATTGAGAAAATCAACATTTCATCTTTTCTCCGCTTTGAGCAGCCCATATAGAGAAAGCTAAAGTTTTTAATCTGTTATATTGACCAGTTGTTAGTATAAAAGAGTTAAACATGAGAGATAAGAAAGCAAAACTTTTTCAAAAATCGAGTAACCGATATTATAATTCGTGGATGTAATCAACTTTTTCACAATGAGCTTGAAACTCAATGCAAACTACATTGATGAATGGTGTAGGTCCTGTATGTTTTCAAAATTAATCAAGAAGCAACATGTCGGACACATCATTTTTATCAACTTCAAACTTCAGTCTGATAGAAAGCAATCAATTATTCTTGAAAAATCTAGCTCATCTCCAAGGAAGCGCTAAATTTTTCAATGAGTTCAATTTTTTTTCCAATGTGTCTTAATTTTTGCATTTTTTCGTACATACTTTAAGCTAGACTTGAGACATATCAAATAAAGTAATTTATTCGGCATGCCTCAAATGGTACCTACCTTGAACTTCGTTCCAGAGCACGTGACTAGCTTACTGGAGAGATGCCGGTACCCTTGAGCAGGACGAGCCTCACTGCCTTCCAATTTTTGCTTGAACTGAACACATTGTCGCAATATGAAGTGCCTCGAACTATCTATAGCGTCCTCCAGATCAATGTACAAAGTGTCTTTGTTCTTTTCCACGAATCCATTCACTTGGTAAATCACCTAAATTAATGATTATTTTGTTTGAGTGGTTTTTGAAGGATCGGGTCAATATCATGATTGCCGAAATAAAAATAACCGACTCAAAACACTGAAATATATTCATTTTAAATTGAGTTTCTAGTTCATCCAAAATGATTAGAGATTTTTTAGGGTTTAATGGACCAAAACTAAGAGCACCCAATATTGTTGCTGTTGTCAAACCCAAATCAATGTTGTTTCTATATTTCTACGATCCTTGTAGAGAAGTTTCCAAGCTTTTAACCCTTGAAATAAGCTTTTCTGATCTCTTACAAGCTTCGTAGAGCAGATCTCAAACCAGAGTACCTACCTTTCCAGCGTAGTGGTTGATGGAAAACGCCCCATCTGGGAATTCTTTCACAGACACTCCACTCTTGTCTCTGCTGTTGTAGTTTACATTCATGTCACCACTGTCCCCTCCCTTGTTCAGTCGGAATGCGTCATTCATGGAGTTCAAAAAGAGGGAGTCGTTTCCTCCTCCGAAGCGGCACTGCTCTTCAAGCATGTTGAGGATGTTGAATCGTTGCTGAAACATTGACAAAAATTTGCCGCTATTTTCGTTTGCAACCATCACAGCTCCTCAAAAATGCTTTAAGATTTGACTCCGATCAGCTATCGTTCATTCATACCTAACAACTAGACACTTTTCCCAGATGATATTTCCAGTTAAACAGTCAAATTTTAACAAGAAACGAAATGAGTACTCACGCCATTCTAGATATTAAAACTGTTAAGCGAAGTTCTCTGTTCAAAGCAAAGTATAGAAAAGAGACGGCGTTTTGGCCGCTGAATACTCACAGGTCCCTCAATGAGGTTACAGACAGGGGTGTTATCTGAGTACTCGATCTGCTTCCACTTGATTCCTTCTGCTAAGTACTCCGCCTGCTCCTCCTTCAGTGTCAGCTGGACAAACAGCTGCTGCAGCTTCTCGTTGCAGTAGTTAATGATGAACTGCTCAAAGTTGTTCTCCTGGAACCAAACAGAAAATTAGTTTAAAAATCTAATTTAGCTGTACCTTGAATTTTTTAAATATTTTGTAAGTAAAAAATAGGTCTACGTTTAAACGCTTCCACTTACGATTTAGACTACAAAATAGAAATAATAAACTTACTTTGAAAATCTCGAATCCGTATATGTCCAAGACTCCAATGGAGTAGCAGTCACTCACAATTTCACTCGATACCTGAAAAATACAATTTTATTCCGTAAGTTTTTTTTTTTCATTCGATAATTGTTTCAATTTTAAATTTATTCAATAATTTTTTGGCAATAATTTTTTTCGAAAAAAAAAAACAATTTTATTCAATAATTTTTGACACGATTCCGGTAGCCAAATTTATTGAAAGGGTCTCATTTTGGTACTATTTCTGGCCGTTCATAAAAATCCAAAATTCTCTTTTGACGCTAGTAAATTCAAATTTTTGAGGAGCGCCGGTAAAAAACGGGTTTTTAGTCAAGATCTACAGAAAATGTTCTAAAACAGACATTTTCTTCAAAAAATGCATGAGAAGATGATAAAATTTGCCAAAAATGGTCAACCTAAAGTTGCGGAAAATTCAAAAAAGCTGTCTTCACAAAAATTCGAGGAAGTGCAGCGCGATACAAAATCCTTTATACTATTTTGAGATAACCATTTTTGGCTGACTGACAATAAAATTTTTCTACAGGCGCGTTCGACGCCAATATATAATAGATTTTATGGAGAGCAAAAAGTGCCTAACAAAGCCTTTTTGCCGTGTTTTTCAAAAAAATTGACTGTGGCGCATTACATTTAGTAGAAATGGGGGCTCTTTATAGTGATTTGAGAGAGCTCACAAAATTTATTTCGTCAACCTGAAAAAATTCGTCAAAGTGTTCAACTTTTTCAAATATCCGCACCACCCCCCCCCCCCCCCCCCCCGAAACAATCCTAAATCCGCCCCTGCGACGAATTCATGCATAACTCTTAATAAAAACTTGAAGCCTCGCAAAATTTCCGGGGTTTTTGGAGTAATTTCTGGAAAATTAATAAAGAAATTTAGCACTTGGAAAGTGTGGAATTGGACCTTACATTGATTGTATTGTTGATCTTGCGCACAATCCAGTGAAACATCATACTGTATATCTCTTTGGACAGTGCATTCCTTGCATCATTCGACTGGTCGGCATTGAACTTCTTCACCACTCGCTCTGCACTCGTCACTATTGTCCTCTTCGTGATGGCATTACGTAACACCTCCAGATCATCCATTTGTAGCAGACCACACACTTGCTTCATCTCTACAAAACAAGTAATAATCAATCAAAACCCATAAATCTCAAGACCTCTCGAATCAGTATTTTTTCTATCTTCAAAAAATTAAACCGTTTCAGATGCTAGTTTTGAATTGTTAATCGAATCAAGGCTAAAAGTGCCACAAACAAGTTACCTCTGAAGTCTTTGATGACAGCTGGTGAGTCGGAATCCTCTGAATAGAACTTGACATTGCCCAATTTCAGAATGGCCGCTATCAGCTCAAACACTCCCTCTATTTCGCGATCAGTGAACCCACAGCTCTTCATCGAGTTCTGAAGCAAAAATCATAGTTTCAAATTTCCATTTTTTTGCTGAACTACATCCACTAAGAACAGTCTGGTTATAATGAATTGTTGTACGTCAGAAGCGCACAAATCGTTAATACATAGGATTGTAAATTATCATAGAAAGCTACGGCTTCGGAGAAATGGATGACACCCCATCTTCAAAGAAAGTCCAGGTGTGGGCAGGGCCGGGGCAGAAAAGGCTGTAAGAGTCTAATGATGCTTACGGTCAATGCATTAAAGTTGCCTCCTTGGTCGGAGCGAGACAGTTTGTTGAGGATGTTGATGGGGGCAACTGCCGATCTGTTCTCCAAAGAACACAGAATATGGTACGCACTAGGGTCATCCTCCAAGCCTAGATTCTCTGCAAACATTAATGCTGGATATTTTTAACATAGAGGCGAAGCTGAGCTTCCCACCACTTGCGATCCCATACAATCATAGCACTGCGAGTTCGCAAAAACAAACGCCAATCAACCCAAAAAACCTTTTTCAATAATAACAAAAAATTTCCTTTTTCAAAATGTTCAATTTGAAGAAAACACGTCCAACAATTAAAACACCGGCATTAAATCAGAATTGATAAACGTTATCGAGCAGAAACTTTTGATAAACGTTATCTGCTTTCTTTGTTGGCTTAGTTACCACACATAGAAAATTTTTTGTGCTGTAAGCAATTAATATTGTAGTTTCAAAGGTCCAATGTTCAAACCCTGTCAGGAACTGTTTTTTTAAAAAACTGAAACACAGTGGCAAAACTTCGCTTCGCAATCATTTGCGAGAGCACGACCAAAAAGCAGCTTTATCAAGTTAAGAAAAAGTAGAAATAAGCCTGGAATTAGCAAAAACTCGGATACGTGTAGGAATCAAATCTGCGACCAACTGCAATCAAGACATTTTGAGTCTCACGCACTATCCCCTCAAGCTTAACAGCTGACAAACACTAGTCACGAATAAAGCAGTTACATATGCTAACAAACTGCTAATGCGATTCAACACCAAATACAAATATACTCGATTTTGCAATTAACAATTTGGAATACAACAAACTGACGGTATCTACACTAACTTTGCATGTAACAAATCGCAAAACATAAAGCCTCATTATGTATAAATTATACATTTCGAAAAATTGATATATATTGAGTTAGAAAATTTATGAAACCGAGTTTTTTTATTGTGATGTTGTTTGAAACAAATACCTTTTTTAGTTTATTACTATACGAATGTCAAAGCACATGCCATCAAAAAGCTGTAAAGGTGCCCCATTAATATTGAGGTGCCGCACCAATATTTGCAACTTAGGTTGGAAAAAAAGAAGTTCGTACTGATACACTAGCTTAGCATGCGTAAATATTCAGTTTCAAACATTTTGTCGGACTAAATATTGAGTTTGTAAAAAAAATATCCTAGCCGGATTTTAACCTAGGACCTTTGCCATTGTTTAGTGATTTTGTCAGATACGTTCGTAACGAGAAAAGTAGTCTATAGCCCGATTTGATAACGCTTGCTAATCGCAAGCGTAAAAACACTAGAAACAATATCCAAGCTGACTGATTTTCGCCAAAACTGACACAAAAATATATTATTGAGATGAAATGAAGAATTGCTGCTTTAATTCAATCTAGTGAGCTACTTGTTAGAAGTAACCAGAAAGAGTTAGTAATAGATCACATCCAAATATAACAAATTATCATCCAAACAAAAACTTCAAAAAATTGCATTTTGTGTGTAATCAATACTGCTTTTAATTTGAACTCGTTTCTTGGCTATTTTCCATTCCCCCCGTGTCAAATTTTCCAATTTTTCGTGATATTACGAAGTAAGGTATGAAGAACAAATGTGTTCACAATAGTTAGTGCGTTCACTGTCCAAAATTTCAAAATTTCATTACCTTATGACAACGTTAAAATTATTTTCAAAAGTTGAAATTCAAATGTGGGGGGTGGAAAAGAGCTACTTTATTCAATTGGTCTTTCTTACTTTTGAGGTTTGTAGTTGCACTGCTGATGAGGGAGTAGAATATGTGGAAGTTTCGCTCTCCCACCTCCAGCTGCTGGATTCGAGACTGAATATACCACACAAAGGACAGTCAGATTAGTGAGGACAGACAGGTCAAGACCAACAGAAGATAGTTATTAAGTTGAAAATATTATTAAGACATAGTTCGTTTTTCTCAATAGAAAAAAGTGAGAATTGATAAGTATCGGCCAAAGAATTTTAGAGCAATATATGTGACTGTCAAAAAATCTACCTTCAAAACTAACTTACAGTCTCAATCTGGCATCAAAATTTGACATATTGGACATCAATCTGACATATTTAAAAATCACACTTATTTGGTTTAGATATCAACACTCAAAGGATAACAGATAAGAACTATCGTGGCATTTGAAACATTGAACTAATAATGAATGATGTATGACGTCATGGGTCACGTGGTACTAACTGATGAAGGGGTAGAAGGGGGAGTGTTTGACACATGCGGAGAAGGGGGAGTGGAGAGCGTGGAATGTGGCCTCCCCATCTGCAACTTCCACCACTCTAGACTGGTCAACAAATAAACAACACATAGCAGCACTGCAATGTAGGCAAGTTTTTCAGTTGATATTATTGACATGCATTGGTAGTGAACGGTCAAGACTGCGGGTGTGGTTTAACATGCTATTTATCACAGCAATGAGGCCACAAAATATTTTACGCGCTTTTTCTATTTTTTCATGCTATTAAAACTAAATTTACTTTCTTAGTAGAAATTCAAGATAAGGTTAAATGATCTTAACTTTCTGACATGCTATTTTTATCGCCAATTCGTATGTCGACTTGGAAGAAACAAATTCATGTAAAATATTTATAGTTCAAATTTCTTTTGCCCTCACCTTTTCCAGTAGGTATGTGGTGATCACTCCGCCCACTGGGTCACCCTGGATGTTGAACTTCATGTCCATGTATTTGCCCTAAAAACACAATTTATACAACTTAGCCAACAGACAGTAGGAAAAAATCATGAACGCAAGGAAACAAAAAAAAACACCCACTTGATTTTTGAAGAAACTTCGACTTTCAATTTTCAAAGGAAAAATGTGGCCTTAAAGATCTTTCAATTTCAAGAAAAGTTTATGATTCACACTTTTTGATAAAATCAACCCAATTTGAGAAACTGGATCAATATGTAAATTTTTTGATTCTGCTGGGAATCTGAAAAAAAATTAATAGTGGCGTTTGCCTTCGTTTCAACAAAAAAAATTAAGTAAACTTAAAAATGAATCATAGGTCAAACCACGAAAAATCAATTTTTAGCGTCATCAACCTTTTTTCCTGAAAAAAAAGACATTTTCCTGAAAAAAAAATCACCAGAACCTCTTTAATAGTATTCACTACATTCATAACTCTTGAACAGGAAAAGAAGTAAGGCAGTTGAAAATTGAGAAACATGTAATATTAGAATATTTTAAGCTATGTTGAAAATCAGATATATACAATTTCTCGAACAGTTTTTTCTTAATTCTTAGAGGCATATTAAAAAAGTTGGTAGATCTCCTTAGAAATACTTGCACACAATATTCTCTGAGTTAAGAAAAACAACATTGAAAGGTTTTTGACTTACGAATCGAGAAGAGTTATCGTTTCTATTCGTCTTGGCGTTTCCAAAGGCTAAAATAAACAGGTCTGGCTACCTCTCAATCAATAAAATGTAAGGAAAATCAATCCATGACACCCAAAAAAGACATCATGTCTCAATGGAGTCCTTTTGTTTATGCTTTGGAGATTAAAAAAATTCTATTCTATTCCTGAAAATCAACAGCGTAGAAAAGATTACCAAATCAAAGAGCTTTGATGACATATTTAGAAGCTAATAATCTTTGTCCGCAACTAGACGGCTTTGAAGTCAGTCATAAATATGCGATCAGGTAGTTTTCCTGTTAACCTTGACCATTCCGAATAAATTTCTGAATTCATATTTCAATCATGATTTTTTGCTTCATTTTTGTGGAAAATTAAATTCTACTAGGCAAAAATTGACAAATTGATTTTTCGTTTTCCAAGTTAACGAACTTGAGGCTCTTACGTCCCAATTTTCTATCAAACAACTAACCTTCTAGAACAGGATTGGACTCCAATAACTGGTTCTTCACCTTGCGCACAATCTCTGCCTTGCCTGACACTTCTGACACGTAGTGCATGACCTGTTTGCTGGCCTCTGTCTTTCCCGCCCCTGACTCCCCCGATATGATGATGCACTGGTCTCTCCCCCACTGTCGCATCGATCGGAAGGCATTGTCCGCAATCGCATATCTTGACGTAACAGATAATAATCTTTTAGGATGTTTTGGGTTTTTATTTCACGATACTCCTCTTTTGTACCTAGAACCTTCTAGATTTTGTACCTCTTTTGCACCTAGATGCCCCTTGATACCCTCTAGATGGATTCAGAAATAGGCTAAGCATTTGTCTATGCTTATAAAAATAAGCGAAAAAAAACAAAACAACTCAGAACCGCTTCAACAAATACGCGCACATGAAAATTTGGTTTAATTACTTTAAAACGTGATCAAAAGTTAACTTTACATGTGCGGCTCCACTTCGAAGTCCTCTCTTTCGGCGTATGTCCTCAATACATCCTCTCCATAAATGGGCAACTTGCGATATGGATTCACAGACACTACTACATTCCCAATATACGTCTGAAACAAATATCAAAAACATTTGGTCTTCCTTTAGGTTAAAGAACGGCTGTTTTTTCTTACGATTAATTGCTTCGTCTGCGATAAACCTTTAGACTTTTCTAAGGAACAACTTAGAAACATTACTATTGTTTGGCATATTTGAATGAAAGTTTTCCACACAGTGAAGCAAATTCTAGTGCTTCAAAAGTACTTCAAATAATTCTTCAAAACAATGATACCTCAATAGTACCTGCCATTTAGTACTTTTAAAAACGTAAAACAAGGAATTAAAGTAAAACAAGGTAAAACTGGTGCTTCAAACAGAATGATGAACGTGAAAATTACTCATATATGAAATATTTGAATAAAAAGGCTAAAACCAAAATGAGCATAGATAAATGCTCATAAATCATAAGAATAGGCAAATAAAGAATAGGAAAGGTAAATAAATCATAAGAATAGACAGGCGCATCCAACAACGCTTTCTATTTCAAAAACTGAACAACTTCAAAACCAATTCAACTCAGAAATCAACTCAGAATTTCAACAAAAACTAACTCAGAAACAACCTAAAATGGCCATTTACTGTTTAATACAGCCATTTAATGGTTTGATACAGCGGAATTATTTATAAAACTTTTTTGAAATTTCCCAGTTTATTGAAAATTTTTGTAGTTAAAGAAATCGACATTTCTAGTAAACTACGGAAGTTTCAACTGTAGTAATTTAAGGCCAGATGCGCATTGCCATGACCTACCTTTACAGCACCAAAACACGAAAAACAAAACAATGCACAAATGAAAAACCAAACTACACAAACGAAAATCTGTGAAAATTATTTGAAAAATCTTTTGAAACTTGTCAATTTTCGAAAATTGAAAAGATTTGCGCAGTCATAATCGGAAGCTTCACCTACAGTACGTGGGAGTAACTTGACATAACCCAGCCTTAGGTTCCAGAATTCGAAAAAAAACAAGTTATATCTCGGAAACTAAATGGATTTGAGAGTCATATTTTGAAGCTAGATTTGCAACCGTAGTAAACCGTACGAAAAAACGGGCTTAATAGACTGGCACCGCATTGTAGGGCTGGGAAAATTGTATTTTGTGCACTTTTAAATCTTAAACTTTTTGAAAATTTTGGGAAAAAATCATAAAAATCGTCATGTCACGTTAACAAAAACGATTTGAGCATTCATATTTGGATAACAAAACTGCAATCCCGAGAAGAATTACCCCACACTTAAGGGTTGAAAAATTACATTTTGTGCAGTTTTAAACCTAAATTTTTTTGAAAATCACAAAACTCGTCATATCTGGTTAACTAAAAGGATTTGGTCATTCGTATTTGGAGTATGAAATTGTAATCCCGGGGAAAACCCTGGCAGCACAGATTCAATTTAGTGAAATAAAGGCTGAAAAGAAAACGCCCGTTACATAATGTATAGATGGACGTTCCAAATCTTTACGCTAGAGACTAAGCGCCCTCCTCCTACCCTCCCGTGCTGTTATCATTGCTACAGCCTTAAAATCGGGCCTCTCAGTGGACCTAGCATTCATCAATTGGAAGCTCGAAAAGAAAACTAAGCATTGCAATATGCAATAAAAATTAAGCGTGCAAAATTTCCTTAGTTAAACATGCAAACATAATACGTTGAAAAAGCTTAATATGGCGAAAAAGTGGAGCCCGCATTTAAATATGTAACAAATGTGGCCGCTGCTCACGTATATTTTATCGTCCTTGTATCTCTTTCTGAGGTTATCCACAAACGACTCCTCGTCAATTGGATCCAACAGAACTGCGTCATGCAGACCACTCTTGTTGTCCAGCAAAGAAGCCTCACTCAAACTGTACTGCGACTTAGTCTCACTCTTCTGAGACATATCTCTCTGACTAACTAGCTGACTAACTAACTAATATCTAGTTAATAACTAGCTAATAACCAGTTATTGTGTAATAGTACAAAGCACAGCCCAAATCTGAAATAATACAAAACTGATCATCTGGTGGTCCGTATTTATTTTAAAAAGGGCGTAGCTATCTATCTCAGAACTTTTAGTTGTACTAGCTGACAGCTTTGACGTTTGGGAGAACACATTTTATCTAGTTAAACTTTTAGTTCTTGGCATATAAGAATTGAGGTCATCAAAAATCATGAGAAAAGAATGAACCCAGACGCTGCCCAGAACGTTTCGGCCACCAGCATTCCAACGCAAAAACAACAAAAAGCGAAAAAAAACAAGTGACATGAGGAAGTTTTTTCAAAATATTAACATGTTTTTTAACATTTAAAAATAAATATAGTCAATAACCCAATGGAAAAAAGTTCACTGAACCGTTCACTCAAGGACACAAAAATTTTTTAAAAAAATTTCAGAAAAATCGAATTTCGGAAAATTATCAAAGGACACGGTTATGATAAAAACATGCAGCAATGCAGATGCTAAACTTAAACATAGCATATAGAAAGCTGACAGAGTCAATGAACGCAAGGAAACAGAAAACAGTATACAAACTTGTTTTTTGAAAAACTTTCAAATTTCAAGAAAGAAATGTCCTTAAAGCTCTTTAAAACTCAAGAGCAATTAATGAATGACATTTTATACACAGAGGCGAAGCTTCACTTCGCAAACACTAGTTAGAACACGACAAAAACAGCTCTATAAAAAGCAATAATAATAGAAATAGGCTTCGAAATCGCAAAAATTCGGCTACCTCTGAGATTCGAACCTGCGATCAAGAGATTAAGCGGCTCACATACAAAGCACTCAGCAACGGAAGCTTAATAGACAACAAACATTGGCCACAACAAATAGAGCAGAGAACAGATGCTATGCAATTTCCACTGCTACATAGAAAATTCCAAATAAGTGAACACTTTTAATGAATACTTTAAATTATTGAACACTTTTATTTTTCTAGGAAAGTTCGTTATAACACACTAAGCTGATCGCAAAGGTAAATATATCGTCAAGATAAATTAGATCATCAGCAAACGCTCCGCCGATGTATTAAATCTATTATAATCACGTTGATCCATCCACGATAAAAAAAATTTAAAGAAATAGAAAAAATATTTTGGAAACATCACATTTGTAGCGCCAATTTTAATCAATGTCTCGAGACAATTTCTAAATTTGTCCAAGAGTTTTCAAATTATTTCCTTAAATTACGTTTTTTTGTCTATAACCTGAATATATAGGTCCACTCTCACTACTATTTTTTATGTTAAAGTAAACATTCGAAATAATCAATGATTCTGTTAGACAATTCAATAGCGGATTGGGGGGGGGGGGGGATTCGAATCCCTGCCGACCCCCAAAGTGTCCCCCTTTGTACTAATTTGTGATATCCATTTTTGACTCACGGACCCTAAAACTTTTCTTAAGGCACCTTTGATGCCAATCGATTCTAGATTTGAGGTGGGACTGCGCGCCGAAAAAACCTTATATGTTGTTCACCATTTTCCATAAAGTGCCTAAAATAACCCCTTTTCAAAATAAGGTCTGCGGCGCAAAAATTTTGGCACAAAATGGTTCTTCATAATGAGGAGGAGCTCAGAAACTAAATTAGCTCGACCTAAAAAAAAATCTGCCCCCAAGAAAATCTTAGATGCACCCTCTTCGATGAAATTCTTCACAACGAAGTTTCTTTAGTTTGATTTGATAACGCTTCCTAAGCACAAAAGTGAGCGAATTAGCCAAAAAAATGCGGCATTTAATATTCTGATTTAGGAAGGGACAATCGGCATTTCATCGAGCGAAATTGAAGTGATATTCAAGAAGTCAAAAAAAACCCAGAAAGTCATTAGAGAATTCACACCATCAATTGACACCATCTATTATCCCTGAATGTAAAGATGAGGTCGCTCCGGTGTGCAAACGGCGCTTCGGTGAGAAATGCCCTTGGAAAAAATGAAAATAACTCATAGTAACGCAAAGACGCAAAAAAACCAAATTCAAGCTACAATTTAATTGCACTGTAAAACAAACAACATCCACTCAAAAATGAAACAAAACGAACACAAAATCAACCGACTCAATGGTTAGATGTACAACTGCTTCGTTCTAACAATAGAAATATCGTTTCAAGGCAGTCTTTTTTGTAATTGTTCCATGGAATACTAGCATTACTTTCGTCTTTAGAAAATGAAATTTCAAAATTACAAGCAAATGTAAGTTTTAATTTGTTTTTCGATTTAGACATTCGTTGTTTTAATAATTGGCCAATAAACATCCCCGCATTCCATTATACCGCCCAGCACGAGCATGTCTTAGCGCATTAGCGTGGTTCGTTCAAAGCCAGTCAAAGATGAATAAAACTTTGACTGTGTCGGATTCTAACCAGCGATCTCGGGATTTCTAACCTGCGATGTCTGATTCTAACCAGCGGTCTCTCGTCCTTTATTCTCATTGAGAGCCTCAAGTCCTTCCCTCTCAGCAGAAACTAGCGAGATATCGACAAAAAAGCAGCCCTATTATGTGAAATAACAAAAAATAGAAATAAGCTTCGAATAAATAAAACTTTGACCATGTGTCGGATCCGAACCAGCAATCTCTAGATTGGGAATCTCACTTCCTTCACTCTCAGTCACTTTCGCTTAGCGATTGGCACACAAAGCAGAACAGAGATTATGATGTTTCCAATGCTATAGATCGTGATTATAGCAAAATGAGCACTTTTATTTGCGAGTTAGGTTGCGAAAAAGGTTTTCTTCAAACAAAACATTCGCTGATTGAATAAGAGTCTTCACTTAGTTCTCCTCTAACAGTCGACATGTGTTCGAAAAAATCCCTCGAACTATAGAAGAAAAATTAGCTGAAACAAAAAAAAATCAGAAAGTCTTCCATAATAAAAATTGGGGTTTCTGCGATTCGCAGAGAATCTATGAAAAGCTATCAAATCCTGTTTAAGCATATTCCATTTCTCTTTTTTCCCCACATTCTAAACAACTATTTTGTTGAGCGAAGCTCTTTTTTTCTATCCAAGGCCGTTTTTTTGCGTACAGAACTTTCACGTGGTACTACTATTGCAGCCAAATCTGTCAGGCTGTTGTAGACTTGAACCTAGAGGTCAAGTGAGAGCTCGTCACAACACATTACCATTGCCATGGCAGAATCTTGATTACCCGATATCCAAGTGAACGCCTTATCACTATACTAAGTGCCTCCATGACTAACATGCAGCTTTTATGCGATTCCAATGATTTACCTCAACCAAAAACAAGTTCGTAAGAAAAATTTTCATAATTAATGCTTTGATCTAGATCTACATTAAAAATTTCGGAAAATATAGCCCTCTATCTTCTTCATTCATTCACTGACTGTTCAATTTATTCCTCATCACAAATGTTCGCAAATGGTTGGATCAAGTAGGCGAGATGGGTTCAATTGAGTTCATTCATTCAAGACATGGACATACGTATGAAATATAATCTGCAGATAGATCTATCTCTTTGTGACTGATTGTATCAATGCAATAATAATTCCACTTCGAAGAATGCGGCGATTGACTTTTGTGCAATCAACTTTCAGATATCATAGAAATAACACTTGTTCCTATCCATTTCACTTCAGAGTTCATTCATAAATACAATGCACTTTGCTCTTGCCCTCTAAAGGACATATTTACAATACTACTTTATTCCTCCAAAAGCCAGAAATTGTTAATTTTGAATTATTTTTGAAAGTATTTCCGGCTTTTCGTATCTTTGTTTGGCAGGGCAAAAATGCTACTCTTATTTAAATCTATATTAACTGAGTAACTAATACTAGCTTTAATTTGTATTCTATAAAGCAATAGTTGAAGAGTTGGTTTCCAGCATTTTTACCAAGACCTTTATAATTTAGCTTCTGTTTATTTTGGAAATTTGACCCGCAATTTTAAAGCAGCAGTAAAACTTTCGATGTCCGCTAAAATTGGCGGGATTACAAATGGTAAGAACCGAAGACGAGAAAAGAACTTTACTGCACATGTGATAAAACCAGGGCTATTTTGAACGCCACAGGAATCTTTTATTTTTACGTCCCGACCGGCTGACAAAAGACGACATTCCTTAGCAAAAATAAGTTTTCTCCGACTCTATACTTACTGAGACTGTTATCCCTTCATACTTCTTCTGTTCACTAAATTTTAGATTGCACATATCGATAGACACACGAGATGATTGTGAGAGCATCAAAAGGTCAATACTTCAAATAACTACTCAGTAGTGCAATGATTTATTGACCTTTAGGTAACTTCACACGAGTGACATACGTGAAGAATTTCGTTTGACCTTGGGCGAACAGGTCAGTCTTTTGAGACAGCAGATGCAGAGTTTCCTCCTTCCTTTGGATTCCCCCCGTTGGGTTTGTATGGACTGGATTCCGCTACAGCAGATTCTATTTTGGGGGACCTCGCGTTGCTATTGTTATTCACTCCATTGTAGCCTAAAACAATTTCAAGTTATAACGCATAACTAAAACCTGATGCGGACACTAAGTCAATAAGCATAGCCAACTTTTGAAAGTTAAAGAAAAAATATATGCCCCTAAAGTTCTTTGAATTTCAAAAAAATTATGATTGGTGCTTTTTTGATAAAATTAACCAACTTTGAGAAACTGGATCAATATGTAAATTCTTAATTCCGCTGGAAAATCTGAACATAAAAATCAACTTTCGAAACTAAAGTCGATCACGTACTTTCTTGAAAATAAAACGACGACCTATATCACCACGACCTATATCAGAGTCTTCAGTACGCTCATTACTCGAATTTAAGACAAAACACATCGTGAGGGAAAAAACGGCTGTCATGCAGCTGAAAAATATGAAGTTAGTCAATGTTAGATATTTTTTCAGGTTTTTAGTAGTAACCAACAATACAAAACCCAGGAAATTATTTTACGCAGCTGTAAATTTTACTAAAAAAACTGAATTTCAAATAAGCACTCAGCAATAAGCCAACAAAAATTGAGACCATACGCATGCAGCCGGAAAAAAAAACACTACAAGATCAAAATTTGAGTTTTTTAAACCAGGCTACAATAAAAACAGATATAATACACGAGGCGAAGCTGAGCTTCGCATCACTTGCAATTCAAAACAAGGAAGCAGCTACTACAAACAAAATCAAAACTGTCAAAAAACTAGATCTATCGAAATTAACTAGCCTAGTTTTGAAATAAAAACGTGCCAAGACAATAGAAGATAAAACTCAAGCGGTAACAAAGCAGAAAGAAAATTTATCAAGCGGTAACAAAGCAGAAAATACTTCGCCGAAAACTATTTAGTCCCCCTCAACCTGAACACACACGCATTTTATTCGAGGGTCAAATGAAATACTACGATGCCACTACGCCGATCGAGTATTGACCGGAACCTATTAAGCTGAAAAAACCTTAGCCGAAAAAATTATTTTGAAAAAACTTTAAAAATTATTAGGTCCCCTTCATCCTCGAAACACACACACACACACACACACACACACACACACACACACACACACACACACACACACACACACACACAGCTTGTCTAACGAAGCAATACGAGACCGCTAACCCGATATAATATAGGCCGAAACCTATTAAGCCGAAACAATTTAGGACTAATAAAAGTTATCATTAATTTGTAGCGTTAAATCTGTTGCTTATAGAGACTTCCAGGTAATGAGTCCAGATGAAAATAGAGATTCTTTTGACTAGGGTTATTTACGGGAAAAAAGTCTATTACCCGGTTGCAATCCCTTGCTAATCGCATGGGTATTAAGTCGAAACAATTTGAGCCAAGTAAGCACATAACCTATTGAGTAAAAAAACTACAAAAAAGGTAATTACATAAAATCGCATTTAGTTATTTACAAAAAAAAACAGATAAACAACTTCTAATTGTGGTTAAATTGCAAAAAACATTCCGCGCTGTGGCAACTAAGCAGACAAAACATAAGCAGACAAACGATAGCCCATCATTTTCTGAGCTACCAAAATAAACAGAACCTGGTCAAATCAAACTGAGAGACCTTTGTCGTTCCAGGAATAGACAGTACAACCAAGTTAAAAGTACCGAAAAAGATGTCACGTTGAATTTACATGAAAGTAAATTATTCGATATAAGATTCAATGTGCCTGAGTTGTTTATATCGAAAAAAAAGTTCTAATTTGAAATCGCTCGCCAATTGCCAGAGTAAAGAAAATTAAGTCGGCATAAAAAGAAACAAGACAAGCGAATCAACAAGACCGACATTTTTGACTATTATTTGAAAAATGTTTTAACGGGAAAAAGACTAGTACCCGGTAGCAATATTCTAACTAATCGGTCTCAAGAGTCAACTTATAATTGGCAAAAGAGTTCATTAAATACACCTTGTTCCAGTGGTAAAGAATGAATGCAAGAACTTTGCTATTTTCGCGCACATTGAAAAGCAATCATCAGTTGAAGTTAATCGAGTTTTCACTTAGTAATTTCATTTGAAACACAAAAATCAAGCTGGAGGTGAAAAAATTCAGCGAAGCCGGAAGATGGTAGAAATAAATAAAGACTTAATCGAGAAAACGGAAACAACAAAACACGGGCCTAAATCAGTGAGTTACACTTTCTAATTTATGCTTTTTTCGTTAAAACTCTAAAGGCTAATACTTCAAAGACAAATATCCCCCTGCAAAACTAAGGTTCAAAAAACTGTAAGACAAGATTCTCATGAATAAAACCCCTAAGTTAGTATATTTTGTAAAAATGGCCGTGCGCATTTTTACCTGCGCCTTTGTTTGCACTCAAAGTATTGTTTGGCCCGTAGGAAGCCTTGTTAGGAGTCGACACCACAACTCCCGAAGTAAACTGCGGTGCAGCTGCCGCGCCATACACCCCTGGAACAAATCCAGGCACCTGTCCAGTTGCTGCATACATTGCCCCCGGACCAGCCGCATTCATTGGTTGATTAGCCTGGCTCAGAACATACGATCCCATTTGTACATTTTGCTGCATGGGCGAAGCAGCGTTGTACACATTCATGAATCTCTCAGCTCCATTCTGGGATGCATTCAGAACCGTTTGGTTATTTTGTTGAGCATTTTGCATCATTCCATAAGATGAGGCCACAATCTGAGCTTGCAGATGCTGGTTGTATTGTTGAGCTTGCTGAGAATTTAATAGCCCTTGCTGTTGCAAAGCATTTGCAGTCACTTGCTGGTGATCGGAAGCGTTTGGAGCCATATAGTGAGGAGTATTTTGTGCATGGGGAGCTAGATGCAGTTGCTGATTCATCAGAAATTGGGGGGTTTGAGCAGCTTGCATATTTTGGGCCATCAGAGAAACTTGTTGCAAATTGTTAGGCTGCTGAAATCAAGGTAACTCTCTTACTTAATACTATTTTAAAGAGATCTCCTTGAAGCTCAAAAGAGCTGAAAATCAATTAAAATCACCTTTAAGTAAGGCGCCAAGTCTGGACCGCCCGTTTGACCGGGGTAGAGGGCACCGTATTGACCAGCCCCGACTAACTAAAACACAAAAAGACCGATTTAAGGATGCTTCAGTACACGAATCGGCTTTATCTTATTTACCTTCCAAATATGATATTCCAAGCAATGATAATCAAACAAAAATTATGTCTATTTGACATTGAGCTGGTGCTTTAAAACTAGCATCAAAAGGATTAATGTACAGCTTACTTGATTATGATTGAAGTTTGGAATGATAGCCGAGTTGTGATAACTTCCATCTCTGTTCATCGTCAACACCTGTCCCCCTGCCCCACCATGTGCCCCTCCTGCTCCCCCGTTCATTGATGCCATGTTCATCATTGCCTGCCAGATAACGCAGAGAAACATTGTAGACTGTAACTACATGCACTGGGTGGATCTAGATAATTTACGCTTATCAGGAGATGGATTTCTATGAATTTTTCAAAATTCATCAAACTTTCAACCATTTGTTAGATAGATTAAATCGATGTTTCAGAAATTACACTTAAATACGCAGTTGATAAGTGGCTAAGACATATCTAAGAACAACGAAGGAGCCATTTTTAAACCTAGGGTTTTTCAGTACGAATCCTGGTCTCCATAAAAAGCTGACATCCATATTATTACAGGAACTACTGTTATCAAAAACAACCTATGAGCTTAGCGTAATCATATCAAAGCTGATGCCTGTTCAAATTTAGAACTATCATTGGCTCTTTTATCTCTCCCCCCTCCCTCCCTCACCTCACATAAGCATCAATTTTCTGGAGTAACGAGGGGTTTTACAAGGTAAGATGTGAAGACCAAATATGTTTGTCATAGCCTAATTAGTTCGCATGCCTAAATTTGTAACAATCGAACTATCAGAACAGAGAAGTTAGAGGTGAAAATTCGCTGGTGGGGGGGGAAGAGCCCTATCATTGAGAGGTACCAAAAACAGAGAGACGCTAAGAATCAGATACGTGCATGAGAGCGCGCATAATTTGGCCCACCATATAAATTGAAAACTTTCAAACTCACAAAAACCTACATTTGCTAATTCAGCCCTCTGTTGTGCTGTAGCCGCTTGACTCATCCACGGCTGGTTTTGGGCGCCACCGGGGTTGCTTCTTGCCTGGTTCGCCGCCGCAACTGAGGAGTTGAACATGAGAGGACTGGATGCAGCCAGAGCATTGGCCCCGCCATTTGACTGCATTCTCAGACCTGCCATAGCTGCCGTTGCTCCTTGCACATCTAAGCCAACCATAGTTTCAATTTCTATGTACCATCTTCTTTGTTTAATTATCAGATAACAATGAGATAGAAGTTAATTAAAAGAGTTAAATACGGACCATCATCAGCAGCTTCATCTTCACTTTCTAAACGAAATATGAACTGACCAAACACACTGCCTACTTCATTCCCTATTGCAAATTTCAAGCTAGTTTTTGTTTTTACAAAAAAATTATGATTAGAATTTGAAAAAAAGAAGTCAATCTGCGCCTTGCAAATAAAAGCGGAAAAAAACTATACAAAATGAAGAAGTAGAAATAATAAAAATCTAGACTCGTAATATAACACTACTCTCTATAGCTTGCATGTGTAAAACAGTTTCACTTTATCCCACTAGTGAAACGTTAAAATTCATTTTGAAATTGAGAATCATGAGAGGTTTTTTTAACCAAATAATCTCGCTTGATATCAAATAATCGAACTTTAACTACTTTTGTTCCGATAACCGAAGACGATCAGTTTGAATAAAGTATTATATAATCAGGTGAAGCAGAGCTTCGCACCATTTGCGATATACAAAATAGCATCAAAAGTTAGGGACAGAGAAAGAAAGGAAAACTGCTGTCAGAAAATCAAAAAAACTAGATCTAATATAATTCTATTATAGTAGATCTAGTCATTATAGTAGATCTAGTAGATCACATGAATCAAGTTGCTTTTGAGAAAAGCATGTAAGCTAGTCGACAATACTTGAGCAGACACTAATTTAGGAAAAACAAACTCAGCAAATAACTTGAAATTCTGTAGAAAAAATTAAGTCCCTCCCTCAAAACACATAGTTATGAAAATTTATTGCTTACAAAAAGCAAGGTGAGTTCACAGACTTGTTGTTTGAAAAAATCTTAACTTACGAATTTGCAAGAAACAAATGGCCTGGAAGCTGTTTGAATTTGTTGAACAAACTATGATTGACACTTTTCTGATAGAAAAAAAATAAACCCAATTCGAGAAAATTGGATCAATAGACATTTTTTTTCGCAGGGAATTCTGTTCAGTAATTTCCAATTTCGAAATTAGAAGTTGACGACATTTTCAAAAAAATCTTGGTTGAAAAAAACTCAACTTACGAATTTGCAAGGAACAAATGGCATGGAAGCTGTTTGAATTTGTAAAACAAACTATGATTGACACTTTTCTGATAGAAAAAAATAGACCCAATTCGAGAAATTTGGATCAATAGACATTTTATTCGCAGGGAATTCTGTTCAGTAATTTCCGATTTCGAAATTAGAAGTTGACAACATTTTCTCGTGACCTTTACTATTTCACTGTTCGATAGTGCAGTTTGCCATTCATTTAACAACGGAAATAAAATGAACTTGAAACGCCTGAGGAAAAAATGAAAAAAAAAACCATCACGGCCTATATACAAGTCTGAACTACCTTCATCGACCCTTAAACACAGCCAACAGACAGTTGAAAAGAGGCAATGAACGCAAGGAACCTGAAAAAATAAATAGAATAGTAAAAATGTATGGATGTAAAGACCCTTCAATTTGAAAACAATTTATGGCTGAGACTTTTTTGTAACATTGACTAATTACAAAAAGAGTAACGAATGCAAGTAAACAATAAAAAAAATACTGACTTTCTTGAAAAAATTTTAAATTTCGAATTTCTTCGAGTTTCTAGAATGATTTATGATTGACGTTTTTTGATAACATTAACCCAACATTAAACCAGATCAACAAGTAAGGTTTTTATTCCCCCGGAAATCTTAAAAATAAATTCAACTTTCGAAACTAGAAATCGTTCACGTTTTTTGCGCCATTTCCACGTTCTTATTTGGAGAATTCTATTTAGAACACTTTCAGCGGATGAATTTCAACTGAACTCATAAAGTGCATATATACCAAAGTGCATTCAGAAATGCATCAATATGTATGAATGCACATCTGTAGTTATTAGAGCATTTTAAAACGTTTTTCCTGAAAGCAAACAAATCAGCAACATTCTATATAAGAGTCTTCACTACTTTCATTACTATTAAAAAGTAAAGTTAATCCACTCTCGGAATTCAGAATCTTGTTTTTCGTATGTGACCTTAACACAATTGCTGTTCTATAATAGTTTGTCTTCCTTTTAGCAGAGAACTACAATGCAGAGAACAAAATTTTTCCATAGAAAACCATGAAAAGTCAAATTTAAGGGTGAACAATTTTCAAATGAAAAAAAAATCATCACGACTGAAAAAAGAGCCTTTTTATTGACCCCCGGCCCTAATTCCACCGTTCTACATTTGGTCTTTTTACTGTTGCGGAGAGAGATGTCATCCATTTCGCCGTAGCCTGTCCCATCTTGAGGAGGCAGATGACACTGGGACCCCTCCAACCATTACCGAAGCGGGATTCGAGCGCACGACTTTTGTGTTAAGGCCGCGCTACGTTCATCAATTTTTTAACATTCTGCGAGAAAAGGATTAAAAATATTTATTTTCATTGAGCTAGCATTGACAGCAAAAGATGCAACTTTCCGGAAAGCTCTTTTCATTTCAGTTCACAGGTGCATTTGACTAAAAAACCAGCACATGAACTACGTCATAATCATGGTCAAAATTTGATAAAGTCGATAATAGCTTGAACTCAAATTTGCAATTAATATTTTAAACTTAACACGACTAAGATCAGAACTATAATGTCAGGTGCAAAGTTTATCACAGAGGTGAAGCAGCGCTTCTCAAACATTAGCAAGAATACGACAAAAAGCAGCTCTATACAGTGCAATAAGAAAAAGTAGAAATAAGCATCGAGTTACCTAAAACTCGTCTAGTCTCGGGTTCGATCTGCGACCTAGAGATTTTGAGTCTCACACACAAATCAAACAGCCACGCCTGCTTAACTATCAAAGAGGCGAAGCTTTGCTTCGCAAACACCAGCTAGAACACGACAAAAAGCAGCTCTATACAGTGCAAAAAGAAAAAGTAGAAATAAGCCTCGAATCAGCTAAATTCGGCTACGTCTGAGATTCGAACCTGCGACCTAGAGATTAAGAGTCTCATACACTAACCATTCAGTCACGGAAGCTTCATAGATACCAAACACTAGCCACAAATAAAGCGAGAACAGATGCTATGCAATTTTCAATGCTACAGTGAAATTTCCAAATAAGTAAACACGTATTATTTACGAGTAAGGTTAGAAAAAAAGAAGGTTCGTAACTGATCGCCAGTGTAAAAACCAACACTAGTCAAAAATAAAGCCGAGAACAGATGCTATGAAATATCTAATGCTATAGATTGTGAATACAGGATAGTTCCACCAATTAAGTAAACGATTTTAATGAAAATTTTTGTTTGCGAGATAAGAACAAAAAGAAGGCTCGAACTAATACACTAACGCTCTTAAGCTGACTACGCTCGCGGACTAAATCCCCCAGGATAAAATCCCACCGGATATAATCCCACAGGACTAAATCCCCCAAAGGACCGAATCCCCCTAGGACAAAATCCCCCATATTTTATTCACTATAATGGAAATCAAACTGTACACATTATATATGTTCAAGTTTCTATTGATTCCATTTTGAACTGACTTCCATTTATACATGCATCGCCATTTTGACGTGACTTTTTAGCAACTTTAAGATTCCAGCATTCAGTTGACTTCCTATAAGAATGAGCTTCGATTGCAAAAATTAATAAGCCACGTGGCACAGTCAGTACGACAAGTGAATGGAAAACAATGTTGATTCCTTCAGCGTGAGTTCGAATCCCAAATATGACATTTTGTGCAATCAATGCAGAAGTCTGTTAAATTTACCCCTAGGGGTAAAAAATCCCGCGCTTCCACTAAGGTGGGGGTGCGGGATGGTGTGAAAGGAAGTTCCCGATTCCTAGAAAACCATCCTCTTTATTGTGTCAAAGTTTCAGACCTCTAGGATCACGGAATGTTGATTTTGGGGGGTCCGAAATTTTGAACATGATTTTGAACTTAATTTAACGTTAATTTATGTTGACTGATAAACAAATTAACACCCGATATAGTCCCAGCAAAACGATTAGTGTAACAGGTGTGATACCAATTTGCGTGGTCGCAATTTAATCCCCCCATTAGCAATTAAACGTTTGCCTCGTGACGCAAAATTTTGTTCAGTTTGTAAAACACGTGCATTTTGTTAACTACCGACTCATTCAAAACAATTACAATGCAGAATAATAAAGTCAAATTTGTGTTAAGCAACAAAGGGGGCCAGAAAGCGCTTCACAATAACTACGCTTACTATAAGAAAAGAGAGTTAGTCAATTCTATTCAGTGGGAGTGCGAGTTGCGGCGATCAAAGAAACAATGTAAGGCAAGCATATGGACTTCAAAGGGCGAATTCCTCAAATCGTCGCCACATGACACACACACGGCCCAGACTATGCCTTAATGGAAACGTATACCATTAACGAGCAAATCAAAGCGGATGCAGCGGCCTGCACCGACTCTTCGACACAAAAGGTGCTGTCAAATGCCCTGGCGAAAGCCACACCAGAATGCTCATCGAAGATGCCGGTGGTGCCTCACCTCAAACGAAGGATTAGAAGAATCCGACATGAAAACCGTAGCCAGCCACCGATCCCAACAGGATTCGATTTTGAATTGCCTGTTCAATACATGCAAACCATGAATGGAGAGGATTTTCTTCTGGAAGATTCGACAGTCCCGGGAACCGGTAAACGTTATTTGGTGTTCGCAGCCAACAAAAATATCGAAATCTGAAACTCGTATGGAAACTGGTTCATCGATGGAACCTTTAAAAGCTGCCCTGATAACTTCTACCAAGTATACACTGTCCACTGCTTCGTAGATGGAACAACTTTTCCGTGTATCTATGCCCTGCTCCCCGATAAACGACAAGAAACGTACAACGCTTTCTGGTCAAACTTGAAAGCAGATATCGTCCCCCCCAGTTCAATCATGATGGACTTTGAAATGGCTTGCATTAATTCTGTGGGTGACAACTTTCCAGACACAGAAATCAAAGGTTGTTTTTTTTTCACTTCTCGCAAGCCATTTACAGAAAGATACTCGAATTTGGTTATGCAGTTCAGTATCGCGAGGACAAAGACTTTAACCTAGCTATACGTCTTTTAGCTGCTCTTGCATTTGCCCCGCCCTTACATGTAGAAGCCTGGTATAAACAAATACTAGTAACTTGCCACATTCCTGACGACATCAAGAATTATTTTGAGGACACCTTTGTAGGCAAAGAAATGCGAAACTCGACGAGACGGAAATCGCGATTCGACATGGATATGTGGAACGTTTACTTCAGGACCATTGACGACCTCCCCAGAACAAACAATGCCCTTGAAGGATTCCACCGTGGATTCGAATCTAAGCTCCAAATGTCAAATCCTGACATTTGGAAGTTCATTGAGGCAATTCAGAGGCAGCAATCACTGCAATCTTTCAGTTTTGCTCAAATGCAGCTCGGCAAGAAAGTCCATACAAGGAAAGAGGATAATTTTGGGAGGATAAAGAGAACTGTATGCTCTGCCGCTAACTACAAAGAGTTGGATTATCTTAAATCCATAGCTGTTAACTTGTCCTTTTAGTTTTAAGTCTTTAATCTATCTACTTCTTTTCTGTTAATTATCTTTCATCTTTTAATTCAAGTTTTAGTGTCGCTGTTTTGTTGAATTCGAATGTGGGGGATTTTAAACTAGAGACTGGGGGATTTTGTCCTAGGGCGATTTGGTCCTACGGGGGATTTAGTCCTGGGGGATTATATCCGGTGGGATTTTATCCTGGGGGATTTTATCCTGGGGGATTTAGTCCTAGACCCAGCTGACTAGTGTTAAGATATCACCTACCAATCTGGTTATAACTCGGAGCTCTTGGCAGCATCTGCTGGTTATACATTGCGGCCATATTGTAGTTCTGCTGAAGTTGCATCATTTGTTGCTGTTGCTGATGCTGATGTATACTATTCATTCCCCCTAAGCCAGCCCCATTCTGAAATTGGGGTTGGTAAGCTTGAGACAAGTATTGACCATCTTGTTGTAAATTGGGATTCGAATATTGACCAAATGCTCCTCCTGCTACAGATTTACTCGCGGCACTAGTGACATTGGGCGGGGCAGGGCTCTGTTGTTGTTTAGACTGCTGCTGTTGTAACTGTGGTTTAGGCTGACTGAGTAAAGCTATTTTGGGGTTCATATGAATATTATTTTTTATATTGTTGCTTGGCACTCCATTGGCTGCGACCGTTGAGATGTCGGATGTAGTGCTTATATTGCCATATTCATTCGGGTTTTCAACTGCAAAGCTTTCGGACCCACAAGAACTGTCCGCCTAAAACACCATATCTAAGTTCACTGAGTTTAAACAGTATTTTTTTCTGTCGGTCACTAGTTTTTACTGTCGGAGTCACCAACTTGTTCCCATCTTATAACTTTCAGATTCAAGAATCTTGATGGTTATTGAAGCTATGAAACTTACCGAGTTCTTTTTCGCGCCTTCCTCGACGTTCGTTTTCTCAGCATTGCTAGTCAATTCGGTCTCATCTAAAAATGGGTTAGCAATTTATACCAAAAACAGTAACTTAATTGTTTTAGTTCTAATTACCAACATACACAACCAACAACTTTCTAATATAATTTCGAGCTTTTAGTTGAGCGATACAAAACCAGAAAGCAGTTAAGTCGAAAAAAATTTGAAAAATGTCGAAAAAGCCAGATCTATCAAAGTGAATCAGACCTATTTTTGAAATAAAAATTTGCCAATACATGAAAATATAAAATTCCCATAGAAAAAAATATACCTAGCGTTAACAAAGCCGAAAACACCTTAGCCGAAAACAACAAAGCCCAACTTTAATTTCTCGCAAATGGAACAATATGAGGCCAGAAAGCCGATATAATATAAGTCGAAACCTATTGAGCAAAAAAGTAAAATAAAAACAACAAAAAGCCGAAAAAAAATACAACTAATAAAAAATTCTGAGAACAAGTTATTCACGGGAAAAAGGCTAGTACCAGATTTCAACACCCTTGCTTATAGCACGGGTAAACATAGCCAAAGAACAAGTGAAAAAGAGTCAATGAAAGCAGGTAAAAAAATACGGACTTAATTTTCGAAAAAAAGTCAATTCTTGAATTTCAAAAAGTAGATGGCCTTAAAGCTCTTTGAATTTCAAAAACAACTTATGAGTGAAACTTTTTTTGATCAAATTAACCCAATTTGAGAAAACTGGATCAATATACTGGATCAAGTAACAAAGGAAATTAACTGAACTCAAAAGTCAAAATATAAAAAATCAAAAGTCAAACCGCAAAAAAGTACATTTTAAAACTTTATCTGGAAAGAAAATCATCGCGACCTATATGAGAACGTGAACTACGTTCATCGACTTTCAAAAATTTGAATCAGGTTTCAGTTCATGGGTGAAATTCGCTTCCTTTGAAAGATTTTGAACAACTTGAATTGGTTCTTTTCTTGTATAAAAATTTTGACTCAATTTGACTCAAGAAAAAACTAACTGTTGTTGCTTTTGGGCACTTGGGCGCTATTAACATTGGGAGCTGCAGATGGAGTTGTTTCTTGCTGTGGTTGAGAAGAAGATGACTTTTGATTATTGGCACTTGAACTGGAGACAGTAGTAGACAGAGAGTCTCCACTAGCACTTCCACTCCCCATATTGCCATATGGGCCCAAATGGGGAGGGGGTGGGGCGGGGACATCACCCTTGCCACTTGGATATGGCAGTTGAACTCCTGGTTGCATCGCTCCCTGTTAAACGAAATACACTCTTATCTACGTGTAATAACTCATATTATGCATATTACATTACGTTATTCCAGGAACTCTTTTCTCAGTCAATCAAAACATACACGCGAGGACACAATTCAGCAAAATTTGAGCCAAAAAATGGTTCTAAACCGTTTCAAAAATGAAACAGCCAGCCTATGCACACTTTCTACAACAACAGGAGTCCTCTATTCAATTGACATTTCGATCATCTGGAGAAAAAACGCTACCAAGAAAGCCAACTCTAAGAAGTTTGACATACAGAAAAAAAAACAGTGCATTTGACGGTCTTATAAAATTAGAAATCTACCGGATCAAATGAAATCCCTCCAAATTTCACCTCCGAACCAAGTTAAAAACCTCTCCTTTAGACGGATTTGGGAGGGGATTAAAATTAAACTTGGCCTAAACTACCTTGGCATCCTGCAGCATCTGACTCTGGGCAATACTAAGTCCATTCAGAGTACTAGCAGCCGCCATCTGAGCACTCAGCATACTTGGGTTCAACAGAGCCATCGCACCCACCGGATTCCCCGCATGTTGCTGCGCTAGAATCCAATTCAGAGGCACGCCTGAAAAGTTGTAACAAAAAAACTTCTGCGTATGCATACAAGATTTACTTTTGCTAATGACCGTATAGCTACTCCTGATTCATTATATATTCCTAATAAGTAACAAGTAGTTAATTACATTTTCCTTTCCGAGAATTTTAACATTTCAATTAAGTAACGCGTGTGAGGCTCATATGGACTCATTTTCAATCCGTTCTTCGGTCTAGTTACATTCTGAGCACACTTTCGCATTATAAGAAGAAAAAAAGAACATTACCTGCTGGGAACTGTCCCTGGTTAGCCCCTTGAGGCCCTGAGCTCTCCAGGAGAGAATACGGGGAACCCATTGGAGGAGCTCCGAGGAGTCCCGATTCCTGCATTCCCATGGGTGCTCTCGGTTGTCCAGCGAAGTAGTTGAACTGCTGCAAATTTCCCATTGGATTGGCAGCTGGGTTGAACATGTGAGCGAAAGGGGCGTTGCTTGAAATGGACATGGGTCCTCCTGCTCCGAAGTTCGACCCCATCGTATTGAGAGATGGAACCGACTTGCTGTTCGGAAATCTACACCAAAAAAAAAAACAGTTGACTGTATGTGATTACGTTTTAAGCAGGAATAGAACACTAGTTCTCTATAAAAAATTAATCGTGATAATGCCTACGAAACGCATAAAAAATTACACTTTAAGCATGCTTCCTGATTAAACTATGAATCTTTTTAACTACCCTCCTTCCCTACCCAAAGGGTGAGTTGACTAGTTACTTGTTACATAATTTGTTTTCTTCGAAGCTGTTGATTTGTTGGGATAATCTTTTTGGATCTTCTTGGCAAGCTACCATAAGGGACATAACTAACTAGATCTCAAAACTTCGTAGAAGTGTTTATTGTGGTACCTCAACGCTTTAGCAGCAGGAGGATGCTGGTTGGGAGCCCTGTTTCTGAAAGACTGAGGCGCTTGTGAGTTAGAGTTGTTGATATTAGGCCGACTGGAGCTGTTTTCAAAACTGGCCCCATATCGACCAATTCCCTGATTCGGAGGCACTTGGTATCCTCCCGACGGTTTGCGAGGACCACTGAAGTTTACCTAGACAGCACTCGATCGATAAATTAAATCCATCAACAAACAGTCTTATTGATGGTTTCTTTCATTAACTTAAAATTAACTTCTTTTTCGCCTGCTTCTTATATGCATACTTTGTTCCGTACAACTGAGAGCATTTGCAATTGAGAGATGTATCCACTACCTACTATTACCTGCTCTTTATAAGGCGCATTGAGCCTCTTGTTCAAAGGCAGTGTGTTCGGCTTTCTCCTAAAAGATCCCTGCTGACCAGAAGCGAGTCCAGTACCAGCCATGATCGAGTTGCTATCAGGAGTGTAGTAGCCAGGGTTATTTCCTCTAAAATCCATCTGGTTGGGATACCTGAAAAACAATAAGTGTGCTATTCTTTGCTGCAGACTCTGCGATGAAACAGGTTCCAACTTAGACTGAACTTGATCAGCTATTTATACCACTTAATGATAATCTAGACATTAAGGTCGACAAAAAAATGAAGGCCATAGAATTTATATATAGTGTAGTAACCCAACAAGTTAGCGATGAAAAATAGTTTTTCTCTGCTAATGGGCTCAAAGCGAGAAATATTAAACATAGCCAACTGACAGTTGGAAAAGTTATGAACGCAAAGAAATTTAAACTTTTTAAACACTTCAGCGCATTTTAAAGAAAAAAGATGTGCCCTTCAAGATCTTTGAATTTCACTAAAAAACTATGTTTGACGTTTTTTGAACACGAACCCAATTTGAGAAAACTGGATGAATAGAAAACTTTTATTTCGCCGGGTAATCTTAAAATTAAATTCCATTTTCGAAAATAGAAATCGATCACGTTTTTCGTAACCTTCACTCTTTTGCTGATCAATAGTGTAGTTTGCCTTCCTTTCAACGAAGGAAATGAAGTGAACTTCAAAAGAACACAAAAGCCAAAACGCGAAAGAATAAGCCTGAATAAATTTTATGGAAACAAAACGGAAAATATCATTACGACCTACATACGAGTCTGAACTATGTTCATCGACTCTCAAACAGACAGTTGAAAAAAAAACAATGAACGCAAGGAAACCGCAAAAAAAATCAAAATTGAGCAAGAAAAAATTTTTAAGACTTTTACCTGAAAAAAAATCACCAAAATGTGCATTACTCTTCATCTTATGTCGAACAAATGTACCAAAACATTCAATGGGGCAAACACTTGCAAATTGACTTATTTATATACGCCTAAGTGCCGATTGTACCCTGAACCTTAATATGTGATTGAATGAACGCAGAGGGAGTAACCTCCCATCAAGTCATAACAACAACAAACAAGCCTCGCCTAAACCACATTTTCAATTGCAGGGACTTATTTCTTCTGATGAAAATAGTAATTGTGGTTCCTGCTATTCGCAGAAGATCTATCCGAGGATATCGAGCCAGGATAAAGATAGTCCGTTCACTTCTTCACATTCCAGTGATTTTGATGGCGAAGGTCTTTTTTTGTTTGCGTCTAGAGCTTTCAAGGTGTACCAGGATTGCAGCCAAAATGAGCCAGGCTGTTGTAGGCTAGAGGTCAAATGAGATCTCGTCCTCAAGTACTATTATTGCCATGACAGGGGATCGATTACACGATCTGACTCTCGAATTGACCGCTTTACCACTATGCAAAGTGCCTCCCATAGAAATGAAAAATTGTAGTTTAAACAGTACCTCTGATTTCCGCTCGGCGGTGCCCTGTTGCTTGAGGAGTTGTATGAATTGTGGTGATGACTCATGTTGTTGTTGTGGGAAGAGGAAGTAGTGGATGAAGAGTGGGAGTGTTGGGTGGCGGAGTTTGGTGACGTCATCATGTCCTCCCCACCATCCCCTGTCCCCCCTCCTCCCCGCGAGTGATGACCACCAGTGCTGCCAGATGGACTCGCCATCATTCCTCCGCTGAAACAGAAGAAATACATAACTCTATGATCGCAATGGTAAAGACTGATCTGCGTCACAAATACCAGAGGTGGGCCTTTAAAGAGCTGTTGCGTTCCAACTGCTGATTTAATAGCTGTTAACACTCAGTGTTCATGAGTTTCAAAATGATTGAAATTTTTATCAGGATTATAGCACTAACTTGAAGACTATTTCATGTCTCATTGATTTTTGCCATATCAGAATAAAGAAGAGTTCATGCTAAGAAGTTTGCACAGGCATTTTCATGGTCTGAGTTTCAAATCGGCCTGAATCATCACTGGCCGAATTGTCTCTGTGCCGACTGAGACACCAAAAATACATTATACAATTTGGCAATACTCACGCTGTAGCTTGTTGGGCTGCTGTCCCATTATTCCCAATCCTCCCACCACCCTGGTGGATTGAGGCGGAAGAGGGAGGGAGGGGGGCGTGATGTGTGTGTTGTTTGGACACGACCACACACTTGCCACTCTGGTCCACGTGGTGGTACAGTCGGTAGTACTCGGCCACTCTGTGCACCAGCATACGATGGTATGACGTCATCTCCTCAAACCTAACAAACACAAACAATTACACATACATGAGCGAGAAGTAGAGAGAAAAGTATCACGCACCAGGGAACCGTGCAGAAAATTCAACTGACTTCTGGGTTACGAAGCAGTATTTAGACAACCGCGTATTCAGACTCGTCAGTAAGTAGACAAATACTGTATTAACCAATCAGAATCGAGACAAGAAAGAAATGATTAATTAATAATTATTTATTTCGTAAATTTGCTTCCTCATCTCGATTCTGATTGATTAATATGGTATTTGTCTGCTTACTGATAAGTATGAATACGCGGTTGCCTAAATACAGACCGCACTCTTGACTTCTGTTATTCGGCCCAAAAACCATGTTACAGGTGTATACCTTTGGATCATAAAACCGGGTCATATCTTTGGATCATAAAACGTGATAGGTTGAACTCGAGATTCTAAGCGAAGTGTTGCAATTGATTTTGAACCAAGCTCAATCAAAATGCTTACTCGTAAGTTTTGTCTCGCCTAATCTTACGGCAAAATGAATGACGTGCGTAATCAGTATTTTTCAAACAAAAATTTCAAACCTTTAGTTTATTTGTTGTTAAATATGAATTAATTTTAACTTAAGAATATTTTTTTAAGTATTGATTTAACGTTGTAATTATTTCACTGTTGCTGCACATTAGTTCAATCCCATTAAAAATTGCAGTTAATTTTTTCTTCCCAAATGTATGAAAAAACTTTTGGGTGAACGCAACATCGGCATTTAGCGATATTTGCATTCCTTGGTTTTAACTAGGGTATAAGAAGGGTCATTTTGAGGTTGAGCTCGGCAAAGAAAAACAAATGCATCTGATTAAATATGTCTCCATGAAGCATGACGTCTAATATATTCACCCAAAGGCCTTTAACCAATTTGCAACTTCCAAGTTCGGTACAAGGTTACAATCAAATACATGCAAAGATCCGCCCACATCGAGACAAACCAGAGTGATTAAAATCAAAAGTCAAGGACAAAAATTAGCAGCGTGAATAAACCAGCCAAAAATTGCGTAAGTTTTTTTCTCAATGTTCCTGTTAACTGCTCAAGTAAATCTTACGTAACTTTTGGTTAAATTTCAGGAGTTTTCTATACCACCGGTCCAAACAATGTGATCAAGATTTAAAAACAAAAAACAAGCAAGACGAGTTCGGTTAAAAATTTATCATCGAGTTGCTTTTGGTCACGACTATTATTCGATCGGCCAAATTTCTGTGACTGAAAACTGCATTCAAAGCCAGTTCGGCCTTTGACATTCAAAGTGCCTGTCAATTAACATGAAATATCCATTTTTCTGTACCAGCAAATGTATCTCATGAAAAAGGTATAAGCAATAATTTAAACAATTTCCTTTATTCATTTTCTTTGCCAAACTCCTATCCTGCAAACGGCAATTGAATATTTCTTCAGCAAAAAAAGTTATTCCTAATAGATAAGTAAACCAGTGCCTTTATAAATTTGTTAGAATTTGACTGCTCTTTTTCAGGTTCCAATAAACTGCCTTCGCGCATCATAAACAGTCTTTAAAAAGCTCCAACATAATAATAAAGCCAATTAAGCCTGAGATTTGAATGTCGATATTAGCAATGAAAATACATAAGACAACACATTATTTTGCAACATTATTTTGCATGAGTTTTGAAAATCTCACTCGTTTTGGTTGAAATCGACAAAACTTGCAGCTTCTGATAAAAAACCTGAATGATTTTCAAATTTCGTCAATTTCTGAGAATTAAGTGAAACGAAACGAACGCAGACCATGTTTTCTCTATCTCATTTCGAGATTGTGCGTTAAAATGGTGTTTATTAATACATTTAGAGAAATAAGTGAGCTATTTAAAGCAATAGATGAAAAAACACCGCTTTAGCTCAGCAGTAATCAATTCATGGTACAACAAAGAAAACGGATTAGCGTGAACAAATTATTCTTAAACAAGACAGCTATACTCCGGTGAAAGCAAAAAACTATATGCAGTAGAAAAGTATGAATCACTCGTAACAAATTGATCTCAATCAATCTAACTGCACTAAAAGAAAACTTCTAACCAGACACTTGCTCTCCCAAGTGTAAGAAGCTGAAAAAAATCATTCGATCGTTTTAAAAGTTGACATTTCTTGACCAGCAAAACGCGGTATATCTTCAACTCGTGAATCAACCTTCAAAAATATTGTCATAAAAATATGTCAAGTTTAAGAAAAAAAATCGATTACCTTAAAAACCTCGGGAACACATTCATTTTTCCAGATTGATGCTACACTTTGAAAAAACGCAGTCAGAATAATGTTCACAATTGGAGGTGAGCTATCAGAAAATTCCAAATTTACCCCTTAATATTGTTCCAACCATAGGTGGATCAGGGAAGACTACGAATGGCGACCTCTGTAGATGATTAAGAGTCGTATCATAATTGAACACTATCACTCGAGATTGAATTTCATTTAACTTCAGATTGAATTTGAAACACTTCAGACCTTTCAGAGCATTAATGGTAATATCAAGTGAAAAAAGTGGGATAATTTGAAGTGAAACAAATCGAAACAGGCGACCATTCGTAATGAGGATAGCCAGTTACTGTGCAAAGTAGCACAGAATGTTCCGACCATAGACTTAAAAAACTACAACGCTTTTTTGGCGTAGTGTGATAAAAGCTGAACAAAAAACTGGGGATTAGGTATATTCGACAATCATAGTAAAATAAGTAACTTGAAAAACAAATTTTGAAGAATTTTGAAATTTTTTGCAGGTTTTTTGTAAATTTTATTTCAAAAAAGCACTACAATACTCAAAATTAACTAAGGTTACCCAAATAAAACTAAGTCTTTACGTTTTGAATTAAGCTATTGTAAGCTTTTAAGCAATTAAAAGACTGCCTTCTCGCTTTATTCGCTCGAAATAAGACGAAAAATCGAAAATTCAAACCTGTTTATCTGGACACTGGGAAATTTTTTAAAACATTTTGTTGTGATTCGAATAAAGACTGTAAGGGCTTCAATATGATCTATCACTAAACCCAGTCCGATGATTATTTGTGGTACCTGATTTTGCGTGGAAAACAAAATTAAAAAAAAACACCCGAATACAAAGTTCCTCCCCAATTTCAATGGTCGAAACAACAAGCGACAATTCGCATCACTTGCGATACAACAGAAACTAAACAACTCAAACTAGAAAACATTAAAATAAAGATCAGATGCGACGCTGCGCATCACAAAAACTACTAATGACACAAAAAGCAGCTATATAACAATGAATAAAAACGAAATATAAGCTTTATATTAGTACAACTTTCCTACGTATCGGATTTGTACCTGCGACCTCGAGATGTGGAGTCTCACGGCCACAAACGCTTAGACACAATTTTGCACACAATTTGCATGTAAACATTTGGAATGTAACAAACTAAAGGCCTCTACACTAAGTTTGCTAGTAAAAACTGGAAATCAAGAAACCAAACTATTTTGAAATTATGAATTTCAAAAAAATGACAAATCGAGTTGGAAAATCTCTGAAACCAAATTTTAATTATTGTACTGTTGCTTAAAGCAAGTAGCTTTTTTCGGTTCAATTGATGGAACAAAAATACATCAACTGAGGTAACTTATTAGAAGTGATCGAAGGTCAAAGCACATTTTTTCAAAAAACCGTAGAGGTGCCACCGAAAGTGGCACCAATATTTGAGACTTAGATTGGAAAAAAGAAGAATGATGTGAAAAAAAATCGTTGACTAAACCAATTTTTAGCAAAAAAATGAATCGGCATTAGTAAAATTACACATTAAAACAATAAAGCATAGTTAACAAACAGTTGGAAAAGTGGTAAGAACAAATGAACCAAAAAAGTTTATGGAAACTTTGAACACTTTCTAGCCTTCAATTTTTGAAAAAATTATCGCGTTGAGGCTCATCAAATTTCAATACAGATAAGACGTTGAGCTTCGCACCACTTGCGATACAACAAGTAAAGGATTAAAACAGCAAGACCCTCAAGAACTATCAAAGAAGACTACGAAAGTTGTAAGCGTACAAGACACTAGAAAAAATGAAAATCAATTTTTTTAAATGTTTTAATTTATTAAAGTTCCAATTTGGGTTAAACTTGAGCATTCAAAAAGTTAAATTTGGGGCCAAAGTCTTAACAATCTCATGAATAATATCGAAAACTTATAGGAAACAAAATATTAGGTAAATAAGCAGACAGAATTGAAGCCGACAGCCAATTAGCTGAAATTCAACAACAATTGTTCGGTAAAAGTTTCCAAAAACCTACATGTTCTGCTCAAATATAATCTACGAAAGCCAAATATGTAAAGAAATTAAGGTGGTTTACAAAATGCGGAAGCTGAATCGAGGGTCCTGGTCAGATTCGAACCCAGGACATTTGCCTTTTCAGGCGCATTCGTTACCTCCAGGCTAAGTGCGCTGGAGACAGTTAATATGAATCGGTTATGAACTAAGGTACTACCAGGAGTCAGTGAGTCCTGTGGATAAAATTGTTTAAGGCAAAAAGTCTAGTACCCGATTGCAATACCATTGCTTATCGCAAGGGTTAAAGTCTTAAAAACATAGCCAATCGAAGATTGGAAAAGAGTAATGAACAAAATACACATTAAAAAACTGAATTTCTTGAAAAAATTACGAATTTCAAAGAAAAAAATTGATGCCCTTTAAGATCTTTGAATTTCTAGAACAATTTATGATTGCTGCTTTTTTGATAATAAGAACCAAACCAACTAGAGAAAACTGAATCAATAGGTAAACTTTTATTCCACTAATCTAAAAATCAAATTCCACTTTCGAAACTAGAAATCGTTCAAGCTTTTTTGCGCCATTTCCACGCTAGTATTTGGAGAGTGCTATTTACGTACCTTTTAGCAATAGCAAACTAATTTCAATTGAACTCAAATTGCATATATACCTTAATGCATTCATAAATGCATCAAAATGTATGAATGCACATCAGTAGTTATTAGAGAATTTTCCTGAAAAAAAAAACAAAAAAAAATCAGCGACCTAAATAAGAGTCTTCACTACGTTCATTACTCTTAAGCAAAAAACAAGGACCAAAACGTTTGTATGTGTCGATAAAAGATAACTAGGTGCTCAGCTATAGGCGGAGATAGGTGTTTTGATAACTTTGTTAAGCAGATGTGTGATGATATGGGTTATTTAAAAAAAAAGGCCCAAAACCATAGTTGTTTCTCTTAAAATAACAGAGAAAAGTAAAAATATATGAGAAATTGAAACCTTCCCAAGACATAACATGTTTCTTACAAAAAACCAAGGAGACGCCGCTTCCATATTAAAAATTTTTGCAACCTGTTCATTCGATTGAACCCTTCATCTCAGATTTGACAGAATAGTTTTAAGGAAAATCAAAAAGTTTCTTTAAAACGGTTAAAAGTTCAAAAACTTGACTTTCCGAAAACAATATCTTTTTCTGCAAAAAGGAGGTCGTAGCCGCAGGTCGCAGTTTTCGAGAGAAGTAAAAAAAGTTTCCAAAAAATGGTCCATAAACCAAAAATTTTACTTTCCGGGAATCATAGCTTTATTTGTGAAAAATTTATAGGCGTAGCCGCTCATACAAAAGAATTTCGCAGAACCTGTTATTTCTTTTGAACGCAAAAACTCAGATTACAGAGGGTAGTTTTCGAAAAAAAATTGAAATAGTTTCAAAAAACGGTTAAAAAACAATCATTCTTTTCCGAGGGGCACTTTCCAAATAAGGTTGTTTCGATTAAAGCCAAAAACTCAGATTTGGGAAAGTAGTTTTTGAGGAACAAAAAAAACTATCTTCAAAAAACGGTCGTAGCCAAATATGCAGGGAACTTTCCCACAAACCGTTTTTTGGATTGAAGCTCATTTTTCAGATTTGGGCAGGTAGTTTTTGAGAAAATTCAAAAGAATCAATATATGGTCAAAAATTAAATATTTGTTCTTTCTGAGGGCCATAACTTTTGAGTAAAAAAAAATAGGCTGTTGATCATACTGGGCTTTTCCAACAGCCAGTTGTTTCGATTGAACCTAAAAATTTACCTTGTAATTGAATTTATTATTAAGCAAGCAATTTATAAACATTATTTATAAAATTAATACATCCGTTAAGTAAGCCGACAAAAGTTGGGACCAAATCAATGTAGCCGACAAAAATAAATTTCATTCGGAAAACTTTCCCCGAAACAAACATCGTAGTCAGGAGTTGAGCATGTCAGCACGCATGAGCATGCGACATGAGCAAGTAGGCAATTACTTTAAGTACTTTTGTTAAACTAGTTAACCCAAAGAAAAGTAAACATTCCGATTTGATAACGCTTGCTAATCGCAAGCGTAAATACTAATAGTGATTGGCGTTTTTTTTGTCGAAATTTCCCATGTAGAGAAAATTGGATCAAAAGGTAATTTTTCATTTCACTGGAAAACCTGAAAATAAAAATCCACTTTCGAAATGAGAAGTCGATCACATTTTTTCGTGAACTGTACAAGTATGCTGTTCAATGGTGAAGTTTGCCTTCCTTTTAATTAAGAAAATGAACTGAAATTACAAAAAAAATCAAAAGTCAAGCAGAGCGGGCGCAAACTTCAATAATTCTTCCTGACTTATATTAGTGAAAACCACTTCGTTTTTTGACAATTAATCAAAAAACAATTCAACTACAAAAAAATGCTTGCATGATAAAAACAAAATCAATGATGCATCATCTAAGCAGACAGTACATAAGCAGTTCAACGAACAGCCGACAATTTTGAAAAATTCCGCCGACAGTTTCAATAAGATTCTGACCGAATTTGAACTTGAGAACATTCTGGTCTTAGGATTAGATGTTACCTCTAGTCCAAGTGCGCCCGCGAATATCTATTTTTGCACCGAAGTTTCGACTAACTTATGAATAAAGTTCCAAATGACTCAAGTGATTTTGTTAAACAATTTGTTAACAAAAAATTCTGAATTCCGTTTTGCTCATGCTTGCTAATCGCATGCGAAATGAGTAGGCACAAAACGTTATGTTATTGCCTTTGAAAGATAAACAACTTCCAGCTTGCATCCTTTTGAACTTCCTTTTGAAAAAACGGGGTTTTGCAATGACAAAAAACTAACAGAAAAAAAACGTTCTAAATGGCGTGATGAGACGGAATCCACTGAAGATTTATTCATGCCGGAAAAACTAGATCTACCAAAATGTGCATGTGTTTCTCAACTTGTCTTAAATAGAGCTCGTTTTGGAAAAAAAACATGCCAAATTAGACAACTGAATGCTAAATCGCATCAGGAAATCTAATGAGCGGGAACAAAGTTGAAAAAACCTGAGCGTACGCCTGTTGAGACGACACAAAGTTTTCAAAAACTTTACTCAAGAAAGCTCAATTAAAACACACGCGCGCATCAAGAACCAAAAAACTCAAACTAATCAAAATTGGATTTGAGAAAATGATTCCGGGATTTGTTTAGATGGAGACAGGTTGTTTAGATGGAAACAATTATATGTTCCAATTTTGAAGAAATTTCTCAAAACGAAGATTTTTTTCGCTCAAATGAAGATTTGCGTGAGTAGCAGAAAAACACAGACCCGTTTTTGTCGACACAGAGACAGCTTTTACCAATCGGAATCACGACTGAAAATGCTTCAAAAAGATACCATTCTCGATACTCTATAGATCTTTAAGTACCTAATTTTGCGTCAAAAAAGAACACCCAACACCATAGTTTCTTTCCACCTCCAGAAAGAGGTCGGAGCAAAAAAAAAACATGAACTTTACAACTTAGTATCTGGTGGATAAAAATTACCTCTTGTAACTGGTGGCCTCATCCACCATGAACTCAGTGAGCTGGGACTCAATCCACTCAACAGTTTGTCTGTCTTTCTGGTTTTTGCAGATATTGACGTTCAATATTCTCAGGACAAATTCCTCATACTCTTCGGGACTCATGCCGTTCGATGAGCCTATTTGAACATAAACACCTAAATATTTATAACAAAAAACTTTCAATTGGAAATAAATGAATTTTCGAGAGCCCTCACTCAATGGACGCGGGGGTGAAGATGGCTCTTCGCTTGCGTGTTGACTCTGATGAGATCGAGCAGCTTCAGCGCGGGTACTAGCCAGTTCGACTGAGTCATAGCTCGAGGAATTTGAAGCGATGATGTCCAGCTGAGTCATTTTGAAACTATCAGAGTTATTTGTAGCTTCGCTACTTTGACGATCGAAATCAGATACACCACCGTTCTCTATTTTATCATTATCATCAATACTAGGTGCTGGCGCTTCAATCTTGGTAGTACCCTAAATTCAATCATTAATGTATTCACCTACTTATGATACAACAAACAACAAATACAACACAGGCGAAGTGACGCCTCGCAAACAAGCGAGAAAACGACAAAAATAGCACTAAAAAGGAGAAATAAGACTCGTATTAGTTAAATTCTTGATAAGTGTCGGGTCTTGGATCATGAATCTGTGCCACGGGTCATGCAAAAATTCATAACATAAGTCACCAATGATGCAGCTATAGATGCTAAAAAACTGTCAATTCTACGCAGCAAAAATGTCGCTTAATATAAATATAATATGGCTAACTGCGGCGTTGAACCTCCGACAAGTAAATGACTCTCAAGTCCTTCCCTCTGAGCCACGGACGCTTAACTAACGACAAACACTACCCGCCAATTAAGCAGAGAACAGATGCTATGAAACTTTCGAAGATACAGATCGTGATTATAGCAAAAGTGCCACCGAATGAACCCTTTTATTTGCGAGTTAGCTTGGGAAAAAAGTTGCATCGTACTTTCACACTACGCTCCGCGTCTGTAATAATGAGCAATGAACTTGTCAGCATAGTCCTGCCGAATTCATGAAACTTGTTGAATATAATGAAAAATGGACAAAAGTGATAGAGGGGTCCCAGTAACAACCAAGTATGATAGAGGGGTCCCGAAATACGATGACTCTAATCAAATATAGCAACTAAGTATATCAATGTACGCTACTCAATTTTCAAGACTTTTTCTTAACGTTGATAATCTGCCGCATTTGCGCTGTCTGAAATTATGCTTTGCAGCACCGAATAAATAAATTATACACTTTTGAAGCTTTGTATTTACATTAGGGACCATGATAATTTGTTGGGAAACCCACTTTTACATTTGAAATGTTCCTAAAATGTTCGAAAAACAGCATGAGAGTTAAAAAGCATAAACAACAAACCTTTTCGTTTGCAGCTAGCGCTTCCTCAGCCTGCTCAGCTGGAGTTGGATCTTCTGAAAAATTAATTACATAGATGTTGAACTTTTTAGTTGAAGTTTTTGAACAGTCCTGAAAATAATCATCACTCACTCGCAAAATGCTCGATGATATCTGATGCTGGAGCCTCGTCTCCAAACTGAATACTCATAGCGGCGTTTTCTTTATTTTCTGGAAGCTGGTCGCTTGTTTCACACGTTTCCATCTAATCTGAAACGGCCTGTTTGTAAAAATCTGACTCAATTGAAAAAACAAATTCCCGCGATCTCTGTACACATTTTAATTTTTACAAAAAAAAAAACTGAGAGCAAAATTTAGACTGACAATCTGAGCTTATCAGACATTGCAAAACGATTACAGTCATAAACGTTAAAACAAGTGTGCTGCATCACGCCGGTTAGCACAAAAAAATTTCGTGTGTTAAGTAACATTCGCCCGGAAGTACATATCGACGGAAAACAAAGCTACGTCCTAAAACGACTAGCTAGTGTCTAAACACAGCTCTACATGCTTTTCACCGTCTCTGCCAAAGCCAGTTCTTTTGGTGGTCTTTCTAACATCGGGTCGACAAAAAACGTTACTATTTCCGGCTTCGATCAGAACGCTCCGATTAACTTAATTATATGCAAAATAGTGAGCTCATGGCTGGGTCTCAGTATCCCCAGACCACGGGGTCACTCCTAAAAGCAGGGCTACTTTTTATATATTATCTTACTATTGTTTTTTTTCAGTAGATAAAAATCATCATCTCCATCGAAGATGGATAAACCCTTTCCCCCAACTCCTAGCTTCTCATTATCTGAAAACGAATTTGGTTTTAACTAAATTCAACTCAAGACATTCCGGGAAGCTAAAAGTTGTTAAAATGACGAGTTAAAGTTCTCTCCCGAGACCCTTCCAGATTCTGGAATCCTGAGAAATAACGATCTTAGTTCTTCTCGGAAGGCTGGATACGTCGTCCAAACACCATTTCTGGTTCTTGTGAATTGCTCTCTAACGATTGTAGCGGAACAATCGTTCTAAATCGGAATGGTTTCTGACAATTTCTGACCACAATCTCACTCTTGTAACATTCGCCCGGAAGTACATATCGACGGAAAATAAAGCTAGGTTCTAAGACGACTGGCCAGCGTCTAAACACAGCTCTACATGCTTTTCATCGTCTCTGCCAAAGTCAGTTCTTTTGGTGGTTTTTCTAACATCGGGTCGACAAAAAACGTTACTATTTCCGGCTTCGATCAGAACGCTCCGATTAACTTAACTATATGCAAAATAGTGAGCTCATGGCTGGGTCTCAGTATCTCCAGACCACGAGGTCACTCCTAAAAACAGAGCTAGCTACTACTACTTATCATATTACGATTGTTTTTGTTCAGTAGATAAAAATCATCATCTCCATTGAAGATGGATCAATCTTTTCCTCCAACTCCTAGCTTCTCATCGTCATAAAATGAATTCAGATGTTTAATAACTTCAATTCAAGACATAACCGGGAAGCTAAAAGTTTATATAAATTAGTTTCATTTCAAATTCCGAGACTCCTACGGATTCCTGAACCCGGGGAAATAACAACCTTGTCTCCCTTCCGGAGGGCTGCTCTTCCACCCTTCACCGTTGTTGTGAACGGCCTTGCAACGATTGTAGCGACACAATCGTTGCAACTCGGAACGGTCTCTGCTATCTCTGCTGTTTTCTTCGATTCCGATATTCTATTTTCTCGTAGTTATCTTCGTCGCAATTATTGTTTTTCTGATTTTCTTCTGGTTTTCTTCCAAAATGGCGGTTTTGCCGTTTCTCAGAAGTGCGACTTCTCAGTTCGAATTTTTAAAATTACAAAATACCAGAATATCTTGACCTTCACCGTTTGGCGAATTGTCCCAATAACGTCACTTATCTCTCAAAACTGTCAATTCGGAAGGTTAGTTGCTAACTATTCGAAATCGCCGAATCTGCATTTTTGTTCATTCTGGTCGAATGTCATATCTTCTTCCGTTTTTTTGTTGTTGTTGTCACTGAGGCTACTGTTGTTCTGATTTCACAGTTTAAAATGTGTTGTAACATTCGCCCGGAGTACGTATCGACAAAAAAAGCTAGGTAATAAAACGACTGGCTAGCGTCTAAACACAGCTCTACATGCTTTTCACCGTCTCTGCCAAAGCCAGTTCTTATGGTGGTTTTCCTAACATGGGGTCGACAAAACGTTACTGCTTTCCGGCTACGACCAGAACGCTCAAATTAACTTAATTATAAGCAAAAATAGTGAACTCATGGCTGGGTCGCAGTATCCCCAGACCACGAGGTCACTCCTAAAAACAGGGCTACTACTATTTATTATATTACTGTTGTTTTTGTTCAGTAGATAAAAATCACCATCTCCATCGAAGATGGATCAACCCTTTCCCTCACTCATAGCTTCTCATTCTCTGAAAATGAATCTGGATGTTAATTAAATTCAACTCAGGGCAGGACCAAGAAGCCAAAAAATTCATATGAAACAGTTTGAGTATGGAGCCCGAGACTCCTCCGGATTCTGGAATCCGGGGAAATAGCCCTCCTATTTTTTCCGGAAGGCTAGACACGCCATCCCAACACTCTTCTTTTTTCTTGGGTTCTACGTTGTAACGATTGTAGCAGCACAATCGTCCCAACTCGGAATGGTTTCTGACAATCTCCAATTACAATTTCAATCTGTTGTCGTTTTTTCGTTGTTGTTTCCACTGCGACTATGGTTGTTGTGTTTTCGCCGTTTCAGTGTGTGCAAAATAATAAATGGTTACGTTTCGTTCATGTCCCAATCGAAATTTTAAAAATTAACATGTCAGTCAAAACTAACCTTTCCCGATTTGTCCAATCGTTCAAATAACGTCGTTAATTCATGAAAACCATCAATCTTCCCGGTTAGATCATCTTTTTTCTAATCAATAAATATTCTATTGCGAAACTGTTTTTTCGTACATTCTGGTCGAATGTTACATACTCCACGGACAGCCCGGTCAATGTCCTCATTGAGTCTCGTCTTCATCAAAATGGTACAGTGCCATCCAACAGAATTTACAAAATGCATAAAATCACTTTTATCCACGTCATATCGACTCACTGCAGAAAATATATGACATCATACCACACTACTATAGCCTTCCAAATCCTTTCACTAATCTGCAGTTTCGAGGATATGACTTACGATAAAACATTTGTTTAGACTTCCAACGTCCATGTCCCGATTTAAAACTTTTTCTCCTAGGTTTAAAAAGTGTAGGGACGCAGGACAGTCCTGCCAACCCACAAGCTAAATTTATCCTACTATGCTTCTTCCCTTCGAAATTTAGTTGTTACTGGTCCTAATTATTAAAATTAGGTAACTCGGTGGTTAGAAGGAACAATGAAATAATCTCCCTCTTCGAAAGATTACCCAAGCCATTCATGTCACCACAAAGTGATCAGTCGTCCTAGTTGATTAAAAACAATGATACAGGCTGGAATAATTTAAATTACCCTCCACTCAAGCCTCTCTAAATGAGAAGTAAGTGTCTCTAAAGTCACTAACTAAAATCATAATGCAAATTTATAAATGCAACAAATTCTTTAATCTTCAAAACTCAACTAATGTTTTCTCTTCAGTTTCGATTGCAAACTTAGTTGCTTTGTTTCTCATTTGAGTTTTGTCACACATAAAACAATTCTGATTTTTAACATCTTCTTTTTCGTTGTTTCTTTGTTTGCTTCTTTGTTCGTCGTTTAGAAGTTCTAAGACTTCTAAATTTTTCTAATTTTATTTCTTTTTGCATCTTGTTTTTCGGCAATTTGTCAATGTTCCATCTTCTCTTCCTGAGATATTGACTCCGCACTTTCAGTCTCTGTGTCTTACAACACGTCGGTAGCTATTCTAACGCTGTTTGAAGTCTTCTTCTGGCCCATATCTTTTTTTAATCTTCCATCGGAATGTTCAAGATTCTGCACGTTGTCTCAAAAATATCTAAATCTTTTGGACAATCCAATTCCTGTAACTTTTCTTTCGTTGGCGCCTCCTGTTTTTTGTTCTCTTTTACATGAGCTTCCAGCCATCGTATCGCCATCATAACTCCTACTGTCACTATCTTTATGGGCTGTGATGAATCTGGTAAACCCATGGAGAGCAGCTTTCCACAGTCCCAGATCAACACCAGATTACTACGCCCGGGATACCACCATGTTTGTAGTAAGCAATGGCAGGGGAACTCATCATCATGTGTTGACATGATGCTCCTCCAAATATGCTTTCTCGAAGCTACCAGTAATAGTTCCACCTCCATCATCAATCGATGGACTTCATCATTCTCATCTACTGCCTTGTAATCCGTGACTGTTGATCCTCTCTGCTTTTGTCTTTCAAAATCACTGAAATTCCCACTGGCGTATTCATTGAACTTCTCTCCCAGGACGGATTCTAATTCCTCTTTGGTTCTCTCCAGAACTGCTGAGAACATTTTGCACAGCAACTCGTAAGATTTTTCTGACATTCTCGCTAGTATTACGCATTTTGGTACTGAGAAGGCTTAATCCACGATCATTCTCGTACTTTTCACATCCACCGCTACAAAATGCACTGGGTATCTGCTCTTGCACAATGGAGCTAGAGTTGATCCCACTAAATATCTCGCTCCCGTCGGTCTAGGATAGGTTTCATTATGCCGGATATTCATTTCCGCCTTGATCGCTTCTCTCCACTTTCCAATCTACTTCGGCTCGGTTTGCAACACTCCCGGAAACACTCTTCACTGATGATCGTCACCATCTCATGTTTTTGTTCTAGATTCAATAGTGACTCTAATGAACCAAACAAGCTGTAGAATCTTAGTGCAGTCACTAGATTCACCTCGGTTCCTCCATGGCAATCTGCAATCAATTCCGTTTCCGTTTTCGCCTTCATCTCAATGTTCCCAAACAATGTCGTCAATTGCTTGTGTTGTTTCTCCAGGGTTTTTACGCAATCCATACCTCCACAGATATGACCTTCCAGTCCACAGACTTCTGCCAGGACAGCTACCAGGTTTGATCCAGTCCTCTGGTGCCCAGCCAGGCAACTCTACTTTGTCTTCTCCATTGCTCTTAGAGGCTGTCGTCATCAAATTATAGATGATGTTCAGGTCACGCAAGTTACAGTCTGAGTTCAGTTCCCTCTGGATGTCTTGTGTCGCCCGCAATATCGAATCGGCGTTAAGACTCGGACACCATGATAGTTTC